AACAAATACTTAGGTGTAAGGCTATAAAAATCGAGTAGTGGCGTGGGTTTGCTTCTTACTAAGTAGGTCCAATATTTTGATGATAAGGCGTAGAAAGTGTTAGTAGGAAAAGCAGTCGATTGATCGTACTTTGTTTTCAGCTTGTAAATTTTCAAATGTAAAAATACGTATCTACTCCTTTTTCAAAAATACTTACCGATTACAAGTTTTAGTTTAGCTTAGTAAGTAAGTAAGTCCGAAAAACAAGACCGATTTAAATAAAAATAGTTACCGGTTTATTATTATAAGATTCGTAATTTGCAATTTCTGAAAGGTTAAATCGTATTGCTAAATTCATCTTCTCTATTGACTTATTTAAATTTCATTTTAACAATCATTCCAAGATTTCCATTAGATAACTCCCAGAATCTCTCCATTTATCCACGCTAAAGCTAAAGGGGCGAAAAATAAGCTGAACCGTAGCCGAAGCGGCAAATTTATGTCCGCTTGACCCCCGAAACGGCTTGTTCACCTTTTATTTTTATTTGAGTGAGCAAGGAACAAATCTTAGCGCAAAAGGGATAATAAAATAATCGTTAGATTCGTTTAGACGAGTCTAATTTCACGGATTGGTGCGCAAAGGGTGCGGCGGGCGAAGGGTTGACTCTGTCTCGCTCTAATACCCATCTGCGAATCGTGCCATCTCTATCTGACGTGAGCCAATCGAGTAGTGAACAAGAAAAGTCGTTTTTCAGTGTTTGCGGGTTTTCCGAGTTTTGATATAAGGATTTTTTAATGTGCAAAAGTTGATAGGTATTTTAAAAGTCTTTACTTAAAAAAAATCACTGTCTATTCGTTTCTTTTTTGAGTTTGTTTTTAACGCTGAAGCTTAATAATTAAATCGTCTTATATTTTTTAGGGTAACGCATGTAGGTATACGTTAAGCGTTTAGCTGACCTGGGAACATTAGTTTTGCCTTTAAAATTATAAATCAATCAGTATAACAGACACAAAAATATGTCTTCCCAATACTTATAGAGGATCGGCATCACTCTACAATCGTACTTACAGTAGTCCTAATCATGCTTTCTTAATTAGTTATCTAGCTGTCAAGGAGTAAATATTTAATATTTACGTAAACTTGATACTCTACATACGTTTTTTGACTTCTTTCAATCTTTACAATAACTAGATACAAAGCTCTTATATCTGTATTGAACAATAGGGCGGAAGAAATGATAAATCCGCTATCAAACAGCGATAATATCTTTATGTCCCTCGTAAAACAAAACTACAGTTAAATTATAAATAAGATGGTAAGGTATGTTATGTCCAAGGCAGAATCTGAGTTAGAACATTTATCGTCAAAGGCTATAGGGTATAAAAGGAACAACGTGAAATGTGGAAAAAAACGGGGCACGTTCAAGTTCAAGATACCCAATAAATATGTAGGTATAAAAGGATGATTTCTTTTTAAATAAAAAAAATGTCCACGACAGAGTAGGTATGTCTATCTTTTAAGATTAACTTGCTAGAATGACGGGACGCGACCGACGTCGTGAGTACAGCCTAAATTCATTAATTTATGGAGGAGGAATGCAAAAACAAATTTGGATGTCCAAAATAACTATTCCTTGCGGACGGAGTCGCTAACACAACTAGTATAGTATAAAAATAGTAATAAGTACCTTATGCGCAACTTTTTTTGCGAATTGTGTCTAAAGTTAGTCCATCAAATACAACATAATTAGGTAAGTATGTAAGCTTTGCGAATTCCAATGTTTTTAGTAAATGTAAGGTATAAAACACAATCCGATTTTGATGAATAGTTAGAAATGATCTATTAAATACTTTCTATAGTTTACGCGAGTAGCACCCATTTAAATAAAATACTTTAACGGTTTAAAACGCGGTATATTAATTAAAATTATTTGAAAATGATTTTAACTTCGGCCCGACGTTTCGGATGCTATGCAGCAGATGTGGTAGGGGAGGTTAAAGATGGAGGATTTCTCTGATGTCAAAGTAAAAATTGCTACGCTGGCGCCATCTGTCCGTCGAAATTGGTATTTGGCGAAACTGGCTGGGTCCTTACAGAATTGACTAAGGGTGTTTTTGCGTTTGCCGGTATGCTGTTTATTGGGATCCAGAGTTTTTAAAAGCTATAATAATATAAACATAATAAAGATATGTAAAAAAATCGTCAATAAAATCGAATTCCTAACCTCTATTCAAAGAGCCGGACGAAGGTCAACATTCTAAGCAGAATAGTGTCAATCGTCGACACGTTATAACTATTTTTGCAATAAATCCATTATCGACACGGCCGTACATTTTAATGTTTCCGTTTCAAACGGATGTCGCTGTGCATAAAAGCTTTCCCTTTTATGGCAACACTATTAAGAATCAATTAACGCAATATTTAAGTGATTTGATCGATATGTGGAAGTAATTAGCAATTAACATAAAAAGATAAGTTCACTACGTTAATGGGAGTGTTTGCTAAAATGATTTTGAAATTCAACGCGCTTAATCGTTGCACAACTTAATTAGGCTAACGTGAATTAAATAAAGCTTGAATGATACAAAACTGAAAATATATTCGTTCACGCGGGTAGTACACATTATAAATCAATTTCAAACGGTTTAAAACGCGATATACTTATATAACTGAAACTTATTTGAAAATTATGTTATTGTCTTCCCGTGACCGCGGCTGCTGCTGAGCATCCGAAACGTCGGGCAATAGTTAAAATTAATTTTCAAATAAGTTTAACGGATATATATCGCGTTTTAAATCGTTGAGTTTATTTTATATTCGTTACTAAGACCCGCAATTTGATTTCAGAGCAAGACTGTTAAGCGTCGAAAAGTGTGGTTGTATCTTATTATTTATTTCATGTTTTAAACCGTTATTCAATAGTAAAAAGCGTCTTACATACCCTTTGTACACAGTTTAGGATTTAAGCTACGGTGACGTCTGTGCCGGTGTGATTTAGTAACAAAAAGTCTATTGTTTCTTAAACTCGTTACCTTCGTAGACCTTATTGATAAGATAACATTGGTAATTTTTTTATGTCTGGTTTTTAAGGAACAAAAAAAGTAGGAATATTCCGTATTTATATTTCATTCATGTATTTTAAATAAAACACTTTCGATTTAAAGTCCGGTGAAGGTTGTAAAACGAAATATATTACTTAACTTATATACAATTTACTTTACCTAAAGCATCCGAAACGTTAGGCCGTTTCGAATTCTTTGCAGCAGCCGTGGTCATTTACTGCCGCTAGCGCCATCTGTTTCCTCATAGTTGGTATTTGGTATTAATACATTCAACACGTCCAAGTTAAACCGTTAAAACAGCCATTAGTTAATCATGCATTCTTTAAACGCAGTGTATATAATAAAACTTTTAATCCGTTATAATAGTCGCGTGCTTTTGGCATGTGGCATGTTTTTTCAACCAGTCATTTGTCCACGATGTTCGTCCGTAATTTCGATACCTCCGAATCGAAAAGGTGTCGGAACTAATATTTCAATTCACAGTCCATTAATGGACATTTAATAAACATACATAAATTACTTTTCGGTTCCGGCACAAAAACCGGCCACCTTTCGTCACGTCCTTAATTGAGATAAGACTGTCCGTTTACAATATGTTTAACAAATAAATATGCACTCTATTACTTGATAGTTAAGTTATATTTTTAAATTACCATCATCCACCATTACACGGTCCACCTTGTTAGACTTGTCACGTAAGTAATCAAACTTACAATATCGTATTAATACATTAAAATTGCTTGCTACTGCTGTACTAGAGTATTTTTTTTAACAATACATTAAGTTAGTTTCGTCCTTCGTTGTAAGCATAGGAAGTAAAAAAATAAATCTATACTTGCTGATATACTAAGCTTTACTAAATAAATAAGATACTCGTTAACTTAAAAGAGGATTTATTTAGACGCAATCATCAGCCAATTGTGGTAAGGGGTTGTTAAAAACTTATGACCTCTCATGTAAAAAGCAAAGCGGTTTCAACTTTAGCTAATGAAATAATTCATAAATGTTTTTATTTTAACGTTTTCAAAAATATTAAAAGGAGTGTTCCTTTCAACAATTAAAGACAGATATACGACATGAAGAAGTTACCTATTTTGAGCAAATTATTTCCTCTGTAGAACTTAAATATTCGCTTACATTTAACAATGTATACCGTAAAGAAATGTAATTTGGCCTAGATAGCTCTTACTTTTGTCTTTTTTACTTTAAAATAATAAGTGTAGACGTGGAAATTTAAAGTTTGAAGTGTGCTAGTGGCACTTTAACAATATACATTTTAGAGTAGGAAGTAGATTTAGTTATACAAACAAGCAAAATAGAACTGTTTCTACATAGAATAGGTTCTAATGAATTATAAAATTAAATAACTCTATTTTAGTGGTTTTAACTAAACTTCACTAAAATAAAGCAAATGTTTTTGTTTGTTTTAAGCACTCACAAGTTCAAAAGCTTATTAAGATTATTTTTGGTTACTCATAAACTACCAATGTAGACTAGTGAACGGTCCCTTTGTAAGAAGGTAATATAAAAAAACAACTTAGAGACATTGAGCAATGTTAGAGATCATATTAATGATGTATTTTAAAAGATTTTATATTAATAACGTAATTTAGAAATAAAACTAAAGTCTTATATTTGCACATTGCAATATACAAATTTAATAATGTATGTTTATTTCCTTAAATCCTTAAGATAAACCTGCTATTAAAAAAAATAATTCTTATCATTATGAATAGTTGCTGTATTTTTTTTGCTGGTCGCGCGTTAGAGCATTTTTGTGATTTAAGGAATTTCCCTTCGTTTTTTTCGTATATTTTAGCACCTTATCTATTTACTTAATTTATATCGTTAAATACGTCCGTAGTTTACGGTTTAAAATTAAGTAAGTAATAGGTACATTTATTTTATTTATTTTTGCGTCTTAAACTGTAAAACGTATTTTATTTAAATTGTTTCGACTAACCCGAATCGCTGTCTTCTCTATCATAATGCGGCCTCCAATAAGTCTCATCGTATCGCAGAGGAACTTCAGATCGTCCAGTGAACTTAGTCGGGTCCAAGATATTCTCCACGGAGAACGCTATCGCTGGCCTCTCGGGCGGCCTCGTCAACCCTAAACGTCGCGTGAGATCCACCGGTGCGGCCTCTTCTACCCCTACGACGTCCACCTCTCCGTTCGCTTCTCCCTCCGTCTCCACTTCATCTTCTCTTCTCTCCACTGAGCCTCGAGCCATCGCGAGCATCGTCATAGCAACGTCTATTTATCGGACCCCATCTAAACACAACACACTAGAGTATATAATTTATTCATTTCGCGAGCCGCACTGAAATCCACGCACGCGCCGACGTATCGCGTCCGTCCCGGTCTAACGGCGAGACGTCATTGCGTCGTGGAAAGTGGAAACGTCGGGCGGGGACTGCAAAGCGAGGGTGCTCCGCGCCGGAGGGAGGCCGAGAGCCCGAAGCCCGATTGGCCGAGGGAAACGAGGCGTGCCCGGGGTGGAGAGACGTAATCGAGCAATAAGGTTTAAACAATTTCGTTTAATACGTTGAATTATGTAAGAGAGCGGCGGGCAAGTAATCGCGCACAAGCGATAAGGCCATTTGCGCTACTTCGTTACGTATTAATGGGGCAGGAAATTGACTTATGAATATTAGAGGTCGCCGCGAACTGAAGATCGGCCAAAGCGGCCCCGGGCGGCGCGCGCGGGTTATTTCCCTAGTTAAGCGCTGAAACAATGATGTTTATTGAGTTTTGAACTTAATGGCTTTGGCTGCGGCGAGCGTTTACGCCATTAGCGTGTTTGCTGAGGTCCATAAATACTCTTGGTTACCTGAGCGCGGCTTTGAACTTGTTCATTTCGCTCCGCGTCGGACTCTAGTTTGCTATGGGAATTGCGGCCGATTTTGGATTTACATAATCAACTCCCGGTTGGTGGGCGAAATTAGTTTTGTTTGCTGGCCTAAAACGTTTCTGCGCTGGGTTCTTTCGATAAGCGTTTTATCTTCTGCGGTTCGTTTGCTTACCTTTTAAAACATTTAACTATTTGGCTTATATAAATTATCATATAGGTATCAAATGATAAATTCTATGCAAACCTACCATCGCCATTATTACGTCTTAACTTCCTTCTTAATAAATGAAGCTCTATTAAACCTAGTTTCCGGTCACAATCTCGGAACTTTGCACACACTCAACCTGCAGTCTCGAAGGACGCAGCATCCGTTTGACGAATGGTTTAACTTTGATGGTATGGTTATAATAGCTTATGTAGGATTTAGCTTAGATCTTTTGTCTCGGCTTAGGACGGGGTTTTATTTGTTACTCCATGATAGTAGAATATTCTAGTTTGTGGAAATGGACTGAATTGATCAAATGAAGTCGTTATCGATAAGAATTGGGAACCAAACCTGTAGTGTATTTTATACCTACATACAGTAGCTCTTATGAGTTGATAAGTTTTGCGACTATATAAAGTAAAAACTTTTTATCAACTTAACATTCCGTTCCCCCCTAACCAGTAGCGCAATTAAAAATAAACAGAGCGCTGTAACGAATTTCCGAACGATTCCTAATCATTCGTAGTTTGTCGAGTTTTGAGCAAAAAGTTCTTATTCGGACTCGGCAGAGGCTGTCAATCATGGACTATTTAATTCTTTTTTATTCCACCGTTTAATAGATGTTAAAGATTAAAAGCTCTTTTATTTGGTGATAGCAATGACAAGCACTAGCCACTGTAGGTAGTACATGGTGTTCTAAATGTTATACAAAGCATGTTGCCAAATACATTTTCTTATATTTAAATCGTTTGGATATCTGATAATATTGGACACTATTCGAGTATTAATTTTTATATTTGATTTGATAAGAATAATGTGCTTTGATTATTTCTAATTATCGTTTTCTCACTCGAGGTAAAAATAGGCATTCAGTATTTTCATTTAATAAATAAGCGCAACATTTAAATAAAACACTTTAACGGTTTAAATCGCGATCTATATTAGTAAGTGAGTCTCCCCGTAACTTAAGCTACTGCAAAACAACCGAAACATCGGGCCGTTCTTAAAAATAATTTTCTAATAAGTTTAACCAATATATATCGCGTTTCAAACCGTTTAAGTGTTTTATTCAAATGTTTACTACTCGCGTAAGTGTGAAATTCGATACCTACACATTTTTTATCTTTTTAAACCGCGAAATACATGACAATTAAAATCAAAAACTTACTATGACAAAACGTTTCCAACGTTTTGACGATTAACCAAGCCTTTCTAGTTGTATAAAGAAACATCCTGTATAGGATAGGTGACAAAAAGCATAGCTAACATTCCGTCTCGTCAGTAATCAGTGATTCGTTACGCGGTTGGTTAGCTTTGTGTGAACTATTTCCACTTTCCATCGGTTGATGGCTAATAGGATTGTGTAATGGCCGAACGAAAAAACGCGCGAAATCGGGAAAATTTGTCAAATTGTACAAATAATCGATTTCATAATAATCAGTCCGCTAAGACTGATTATTTAAATCGTCATAATATATCTATTAGAACGTCTAAGTATGTATTTGTGTTATGGTTATGAGAAAAATTAAAAATTTACATAGATTTATTTTTATACTTTTTTAGTTTATAAAAAAATATTGAGTATTCCGAATAACACGTAGAATGGCATCATAATAATCACAGACAGTGGTGGTCCAAGCCGAGGCCTTGGCCCCTTCGGGATACATTTGGTCTAGCAAACACCGCGAGCGGACCCAAAACTTTCGTTTAATATTGGAGGCCCCGGGTCAACATAAGCAAACATATATTAAAGAAAAGATTCATTTGCTCATTAAAATGCGTATCATTAAAACAGTATGCTATTTTTGAAGCGACAGAAGAAGACTATCATAGTTTACAAGCCTTTTTAGATAGGTAATTATTTCAACATTCGTTTAATTTTATAAATTTTGAACTTGGGTACACGTCTCCTCACGCATAGAAGAACGTTTTGAAGACTAAAGCTTCGTAATAAGTCTTGCCTAATACCGCTCCAGACGGTATTGTGGTTTAAGACTATTTTTAAGATTTACAAAATCACTTAAGAGAAATTATGAATATCTTATTTATTACAAGTCAAATCATATCAAAAATAAAAATAACAAAAGCGGGTTGGATATAACTTAGTTTTTGGTGTTCTTTAACGGCTACCGCCACTAAAATAGTGCTTATACCCGGGACCGACGGCTTAACCTACTTTCAAAGTCTGGGCTCATACTAGAAATTGTAAGAGTATAGGATAGATTTGACCGCCTCTGCAGCTAAATTGTTAAACCTGTTGCCTAGCATTGCGTTAAGCGCAAGAGGATTCAAATCCCTTAAAACAGTAGATTACTTTGGTAAGGTACAGAAGTCTGATCAACTGTACTGATCAGTGTTGGGACACAGAAATGTGTTCACCCTACAAGGGGAAGCGGCATTTCATTTCTTTGAGATTAACCTAGGATTAGAACCTGGAATCTCGAATAACCACGAAACTATGAGGCAGTATATACAAAACATTATCCCTCCTTAAATACTTACTGATGGCTTACAGAGAAACGCGAGCTTAATTTTCTCGCCGTCGCGTTCATAATTAACACCCGAAAAAAGATGAAAAATGTCGGAAAAACAAAGTTTTTAATAATTAATAAACACGTCAGGACACGAAGTCCGTTCCAGTGGAGGGCTTAATTAAAAAGTTTCGCAAAAAATCCGCGCGGAATCGAGCAGCCCAATTAAAATTAAGTCTGCTTTTAAACGCTTTATTTAAAGATGGATTAAAGGATGATCTGCAAGTATTATTCATTCATGAAATTGAAGAGTTAAACAGAGTTTATACTATACGGTATAAATCCTCTTTTAAAGCAATAACATGTGAAAACATTTAAATTGTACAGTGATCTGTAAGTGACTGGACTCGACTTGGTAAAAAAGTTAAAATTTGTCTGTCTATAGTTTACGCGAGTAGTACACATTTAAATAAAACACTTTAACGGTTTAAAACGCGATATATTAGTTAAACTTATTTGGAAATGATTTTTAACTTCGGCCCGACGTTTCGGGTGCTTTGCAGCAGCCGTGGTCACGGAGAGACTAAAGACTTTAGTCTCCCCGCATCCAAGCATTATAGCATTAGCAGCATATTTAAAATTTGTCTTTTATCCTTAAATTATTATTATTTTATTTACGTAAAACTTAATACTTTAAACATAAAACAATTCTTAATTATTAACTTTGTTTTTCCAAACCCCCTCGTCGTTATATATTATAGCTGTTACCCACGACGTTGATCGCGTACCGCCGTTCTTGCGTTTAAGATAAATCATTGTTTAATACATATTTTTTGGATACCTTTACCCATTTCGCATTATCGCAGCGCACTCAACGGAAAGCTACAAAGGTGAATTTTCCCCCATGTCTTGTATCCTAAAGTCTTCCTAGAAAAATGGAAAAATTCCTCTAACCAATACAATACATTTTTTTACTCGAACCAGTACCTAGTTCCTGAGATTAGGGCGTTCACACAAACAAATAAACTCTTTAGCTTTGTAATATTAGATTATATCTGTAGTTTACTCGAGTAATTATATGATTGATTATTATTATTGTATTAATCAATTTATCTCATCACCACCTTATATTAACCTTGAAATTTCTCGCCTATTCCCTTTCATGAAAAAGGGTGTTTCATCTGTAAAAAATAATCGTGTGATGCCCTTAAAACAACCAAATTAACTTATAAACAAGTTGTTATTGAACGTTCTTAACGCCACATTTGCTCGTAAATTTAAAACGGGCGCAATATAAATAATCGTTATGAACAATTTTGTTTCGGAGAGATTCGAGTTATAATAACTTTGAAGTATTGTAGTATCCTTTATTATTAGCAAAACATATAAAACAAAGAAATACCGGGTTGTAATGTAAAGACACATTGACGGTCGCGTCAATTTAGTATTGGTGGTTCGATTCCCGTCGGGTCTAATAACTTCTTCATATACAATTCATGTTTTGTCTAATTAATGCAATTGAGTTTGACCGTTTTAATTGGGTTCTATAATAAATAAATAATTTAACAAATAAAAAAATAGAAAAATAAATTACTTATTTTAAATATCCTACACTAGCTGTTACGTAAATACTATCCGTGTCGCAGGTAAACATCAAGAATATCTAAAAGCGCATCTCGCTTTGACTGTTGTTGAACTCTATGTTTGTCAGCCTTACGAATTAAGTACTTAAATTCCTTAACGCTATACAATGTAATCGTATGTTTTAAAATTATAATTAATGCCCCGCGTCCCGTTTATACCAGATTAATCGGGGCAATTATATATGAGGACATTATATTAGTCGACGCTTGGAATTCAAATTGGATTATTATTGTGCTGTTAGTCAGCTTTGAAGTTTCTGATTTATTGTACATAGATTAATTGGAGCTGTAGCATTTATTAATTAATGGGTTTGTATTTTGTAAAGATGCTTCAGTAAAAGAAAGCTGGACAAATGTATTTATTTGCATTTGTACAAATTATTAATGTTTATAAGTAGGTACTATTTTATTTTTAAAGGGTGAATTTTATAATAAATCCCTGGTAGTACTTTCAATATTTTAATGTATCTGTTGACTCCTATACCACGATACAATTTGACAATTTTATGAGTTTTCCATTGAACACAGGTTATAATGTATATGTATATGTTGGTTCAAACGGTGTTCATATATAAATTAAAAATCGAGTAAATATTGAAAAAAAGCACGACTCGGGCAGGCCTTAAACCGGCATCCACAGCGTTCGGCGTATTAAAAAAAAAATTATCAATTTTTAATTTATATTTAAAAATTTTAAGTTTTCAGGTGTTCATTTTTTTTTTGTTTTTCATCTTGTACGATCGTAAACCGTTGTGCAAACTGACATTACATTTTCTGTTAAACCTTTGTCTACGAACCACAGAGTTAAAATTACAATTACATCACGGTTGGTGTATAATTATGCAATATTAAGATCTCCGATTACCGCATAGGTGGTGCGAAGGTAATTTGTCACACACCACCAACGAGACACGTGACAGCCCCAAAATGATTTATCGCCATCCAGACAAAGACCTCTTCAAATACTCCCCTCGCAAAGCAAACAGTTCAACGACAATTACGAAGGGAAACCCGCCTCTATGCCGATAACGGAAAAGTCCATTTCCCGCCAAATTTTGACAGTGACGTTTGCCACTGTCAACAAGACGGCTGCGTTCGGAAATTCCTCGGCTAATTGTATGTATCGCGCGGCACAGAACGCATTTGTCAATTGTCGCCAGCCCTACGAAGTTGACTAACTAATTACTGAAGTTAACTATTTCTGGAACGCTTTGACGGCTTATTAAGATTTCAAATTGGACACAAATTGGATGTCTCGCCTAACTGATTACTGCGCTATACCTATTTCGTGTGAGACGTTAAAAAATCAAGCCGATGAGTCGATGACAGTTTCATTTTCTGGGTATCAAAAATCAATGTGTTAAATAAGAAACATTTTTTTCTGTATTGTACAAAAAATAAGAAATGCGAATACAATATATCTATTCAATGAATTTTGATACTTTCCTTCCCTAATGCTTGTGGCTCTATTGCGTAGTTTCAGCCGTAAAACTTGGTTAAAAAGTCATAGATCAAAGATCGTGACCTAAGGTTACTTGACTAATACATTTTGTACTAGTCGAATAACCCATGGTATTGCGTCGTGTGTAAAAGTAGCTTTGAGTCCTACTTGCGCATTTTTCTTAAGACTCCATTATGATGATAGTACTTAAATACTGTCTTTATTTTACGCGAGTAGTACACATTTAAATAAAATAAGTACCTACATGATGTAGCAGCCGAAACGTTGGGCCGAAGTTAAAAATTATTTTTAAATAAGTTTAACTAATATATTGCGTTTTAAACCGTTAAAGTGTTTTATTTAAATGATAGTAGTTTTAATGCGTAATTGTAAATTTGCATGGTAAAGATTATTCGTCGGCTTGAACAACCATTTGATTACAAATTAATTAAAGAACGCTTTTTACAAAAACTTATTTAATATAACTAGACTTATAGTGGATCATTTCCTGCAACTTTTTACAGACATACAACTAATTAAAACGCAATAATAGATCCAATTAAAGCGACAACCACATGTTTACAAATGGAATTAATTAGGGGCGGAACGACAGTGATTCTCAGCGCCATCTGTAGTGGCAAACAGATCGCCTGTCGACGGGCGCACAAATTGATTCGATACGTCGTATTTTTTTTATCGATTCCTGTAGGAACGCGCAACGAATGCAGTGCTACATTAGGTCAGATACACACTCATAATTCCAATAAATTGGAACCTTTCATATCTAAATCTCAGCTAAAACTGGTGGAAATAAGATGGGTCATTTTAAGTTTTGCCAAACTCGATTCTTCAAGTCCCACCACTTTTAGAGAAAAATTATAAGGTTTTAAAAGTTTATATGTTTTGTAAAATCAACGTAAATTGTTTATTCTTCTTATAAATTCTTATATTATATTAAAATTTCTATCGCAAATAAATGAATATAAGACAATCGTGGTGAATGTATAAATTCATTTTAGGAGAGTATGTTAAAATTTATCAATAAAATAAAATATGTTAATATGTTGTTAATTATTTTTTGTATATTGAACTCAATAAGTTGCACAATAATAGTATTTGTAAGTAAAACTATATACAAATTTAATATCTACGGCGCTGTATAGTATGAACAAACCCTTATGGTCTAACAGAGTTTACGTTTAGTCAGCAAAAAGAGAAGATCCCATCGAAGTGAGAAAAAAGAATATTCCGGAAATCGCTAAAACGATTTGTCTGTGGCGTGTCTAGTTTTTCGTAATTTAGCTATTACATCTCGACGCCTCTTTGTTACATTTTGGGCATACAATGATTAAGATTGCGTACAATCTTAGGACTGCAATTAACGCAAATGCGTTCTTATCTAAATAGATTAGACACTTTTTACGATTAAAAACGCAAAATAGGCCAGTTAACTTATTAAGGGATTTACTTATTAATTTTATAATTTACTACAGGTTTATTTTAATTTGTCTAGCCGTCTTAGACCTAACATTGACAACGAAGAACTTTAAAAGAAATAAAGCTGTATTTAATACAGAGTTTTAATATTGTATAAACCATAAAACCACATAATTCAAATAAGTTAATACTTAGATTTGTTTAATTGCTTATGTTCTAACGCCCAATTATATATTGCTATCAATCAGAAAAAAATGAAAACAACGAAACAATTAAAAACATATTTATTTAAAATATGCTAAACGAGAGTTTTCTACTTTGGAATGACAAATCTAAAGTATACTATATAAGGCACTTAAATTAGTGTGAAAATTTCCCCACACATCCAATAAAAAAAGTACAAACGCGCATCATCCATGTCCGCACTTCGCAACTTTAGCATCACGTTGTCAAAAAGGAAGAAAAAATTCAAAATGGCGTCCGCGTCTCGGCGGGAAAATTTTGCGGTATAATATTTTCACCGCACCGAGGCGTGGGTTGCCACTAATTGGATTCCTGTTACAATAAACGTGTCAGCCCCTCGTTGTGAAAAAACCACCCCATTTAAAAGTTTGCAGATAAAAGATGGAATAAAAACAAAAGACAATTTTGGTTATCTCCCGCACTTTGGCCCGAAATGAACAGTTAACTAGATTCTTGAATGTCGTCTGTAGTTCACGCGAGTATTTCACATGATAAAACATTTCTAACGGTTGAGAACTTTCGGATTTTTTTCACCGCTGCGAGAAGGGAACTAGAAATAGTGGACATCACTAATCTTAAATTATTTTTAAAGTTACACAACCGTTCAAAATACTTAAACAAGAAATAAATAGACTTTAAAGGTACCCTGTGTGCCGCACCATACCTTTGCAACTGACCTACCGTGTGGGGGTTTCCCGGTTGTGTCGCAGGGTTTTTACAAAGTCAATAAACTCTTACGGGAATAAAAATAAGTAAGCTCATTAAGATATGTGTAATCTACTAAGTAAAATATTATTACTTACTCTACTATCTAGTATTAATAAACATTAAATTATTAAACGGAAAACAGTCAACCTAGCTTTCTTATTACAGTGCGTTTAGTGCAACTGCAAAGTACAAAATTAAAATCACAAAAATAAAAATATGTATAGTAATTGCAAAAAATATAAAAAAATTTTATTTTTTGTATTCTTTCTTAACTTGTTTTTAATGTAGATATAAATAGAATAAATACCAGATAAATACCCTCGCCATATAAATTCAAAGAATTAAATTAACTGAACCGAAAAACGATTAACTTTACTCTTTTTTTCGTATTGTTTACTGACTACTTTTGATTTTACCAATTTCAGGAAGCCCAACATGTTTAAAAAAATATAATCAATTTGAAATGTAGACCCGATAATAATACACCCGTTAATTATTAGCAAATTAACATAAAAGAAGTAATATTATAAATGAAAGTAATCTTTGTTGTTTTATTTAAACTATAGTTTGAATAAATTTGGTAAATTTAATAAGAATTTTGAGGGGTTAAGGTGGGGGTGAGTTCGTATGGGAATTCGTGGTTTTTGAAGCTAGAACAATAAAACTTTTTTCTTTGGCTTTTTGGGAATAGGAGTAGGCGTGGGAGTGGAAGTGATGTGAGGGGAGAGTGTTGCGGCAAATTAGCACTTACAACATAGATTGGCTGCGATAAATGCGCATTTAAATAAATTAATAAACAGCCTAAATAATTAAAAATGCTACCCCAAGTCACTACTCCACGCGAACGAAGTCGCGGGCACAGCTAGTTATACTATAAATGTCTTGTTACTTTTTGTCTGAATTCCATCGTTTTCACTTCACTGCGTCAATTACAAGCTAATTTTGACCATTACACGCAATAAAAAGTTAGATTAGACCTTTCGTTCGTCCCTGACACTGAGTCGATTAAGGGACAGGCTAAATCTACGTCCAATGTTAATTAATTTTTTGTTCAATTATTTTTCACACAAGTATTGTGAAGGGTAACAAGTTACAAGGTAACTAAACTTGATAGTTAAGTTGCAATGGCCGGTCGTGTCCGCGTCTAAGCCAGCTTTTGCATTTAAATATAATTAAAAACAATCGTGATGTTTGAGAATTGTAGAGCGGATTTGAAGCAGAAATGGCGGCAATATCTAGCAGCTTCACTGGGTACGTTAAGCTTATTTCGTATTACCCAAATTACCTCGACATTACGTATTGTAGCGCGTCCTTCCTTTGTTTTTATTATTAAGCAGTGGTAAACTTTACTGGGCGTCTTTACAACAGCATTAAAGACATAGTTTAGGCGTGATTATAAAAATAAATGGCAATCAGTACCACTCAGCATAGTAACCCCGGTATAGTGCAGGAAAAGTGTAGATTATATGATAATTCATAAAATGTATACAATAATGAAAAATAGTAGTAAGATTTAAAAAATACTGATCATATTAGTGTGCGTGTTTGTAAATATGTATTCGTAAGCAAAGACGAAGCTTTGTGAATGAATACCTATTTTACATTCAACTATCTAGAAGATATAGTCAATAAATTATTTATGATACATTATGTATTTGTATAGACCACATCTACTGTACTGTTAATTGTAGCGACTATAATAAAATTGCTATGTATAACATATTAAACTTATTTAAGTAAATTAAATTAATAATATTTAAAAAAGTTACATACATTTTATATTCCATAAAACCTACATTTTAACAGATATTTGTAATTTTATTTTTGCTACTCTTTTCGACCGACGACCATTGTAGTTACTCAAAACTCTAGGAATTCCCACGTAAACGCACTAAGGCTTTTACACATTTAAATATTATTGATAAAACAGGCGGGGATCAAACACCCGACATGGGCTATATATACGGCTATAGGAATAGGGATGTTGACTGTAATAAAAACAACATAATTCGTATACAAATTGGTAGCTTCAGCTACAGAAATAGATATAATAGAGTATCGCAATAGTTTTCTTTAATTTTAATAATGTTTAATAAATTGGTACAAAAGCAAATGAGGAACATAAATAAACAACTATTCATGTGTTTTCCCAGTACTGCTTTCACATAGAGATACTCCGCAGCAAAACTTAGAGCTCATGTTATTTTTTTTTGTTTACTCCACTAACAGTTGACTCGATCTCAAGAAGCTGTGACGTCATAAAGTTGTTGTTATTTTGTTCATATGTTTCTGGGGATTTTAAAAACTTAACTTTAGGGCTATTTAAAGGTTTAAAAACAATATTTTTAATATTAGGGGTCAAATACGATACTATTTATAATTAAAAACTATCTTAAGAATAGTAAACATTCCAAGACTACCTAAAAAACTTTTTAAAAGACGCCGCTTTCAAGTCAATATTAGTCTAGCCATTTGTGCTTTTAAAACGTTTATCTATTAGATAAATAACATATAAAAGGAAGCAATAAAACTATTGAATTCAAGAACATCACATATACTTCCGAATTATGTCGAATAATATGTTAGGAAGCAGGAAGTTTGATTTCAAGCACGACGGTTCAAACTCGCCGTATCGTGGTTCTGTCCCGCAAGGCTAACCGGTTCTTGGAAATTAACACATTCCTCAAAGATCACGATCATATTCTCACGTCAGTAGCTTTGCTGCAAATGATACGATTGTCCATCATTTACCAACTTGAAAAGGGGGATGTGTATTGGTAACTTTTAGAAGATGTGTATTTTATCGACGTGCTGCTTACACAACTATAAATCGACAATAAAATTTTCACTAAGGTTGGATTATGAGTACTTATTAAATTTTTGCGATAAGCTAAAAAGTCCAGGATTCGATTTCAATAAATCATTTTTGGTCAGACAAGTAAAGAACGTCGTCACGTTGATTTACTGTTTTATGCATTCGACTGGTGAAGCAGTTCAATCAGTCAGGCGAAATATAAGTACGGATTTTTTTAACTAACCCCGTTCCTTGGAAAATAAGTTCTTTGAACGCCTTAATTATCATGACTTTTTGTGGCGCACTAAACTTTAGGCTCATTTTTCTATAAGAGAGAAGATAGTAATATAGTGAGAAACAAACGCGGAAAGGCTCTACCAAACGTCATAAAACTTTATGATTTAAATAAAACACTTTAACGGTCTAAAACGCGATATAACGACGTTTGGGATGCTTTGCAGCAGCCGCGGTCACGGGGAGACTGAAAATAAGTTTAAAAAAATCGCGTTTAAACCGTTAATTAAATGTGTACTACTAGTGTAAACTATAAACAGTATTTAAACTTTATGATTTCAATAATCAAGTCTCGTTGTGTATATAATCATTATTATTATTCACATCCGCTTTGTATGGTATTAAATTATAATCAATCTAACAGATGTATTATATCTTGTCGTCTATACGTAGGAATGACGTCATAATAAACGTGTAACTTAGAACTAGGCGTTATAACGAAGGCAAGTATTGCTAAGTTATTGTTTAAAATGCACCAATTGAGCTTCTATACCCGTGATCATGGAATATCTCAACTTAATATAAATGCATATCGTGGATGCGTGCAATTTCGCGTCTCGCCGGAATTTACCCGAAATATACCTTTTATTAGTTAAGTTATTTATTAGATCATATTTACCGGGGCTCTTCAGAAGCTGTTCTAGCGTTCCAATGATAGCCAAACGTCGGGTTTTAAAAAACACGTCAATTTATTAAAATTTCTCGTTTTATCCGTCATTATCGTATCGTTGTTAAATTTCTGAACTTACAACTTAATTGTAACTTTTAATAATTTCAGCGAGCTATGGCAGTTTGTGTACGGGTATGTCAATGGGCTGGACGTCTCCTGTCTTCCCTCAGCTGCGTTCAGAGAACTCGCCTCTGCCCCGGGAACCTACGCTGGTGGAGGAGAATTGGATAGGGTCGTTGTTGGTGCTTGGCGGTTTACTAGGTAAGAAACTATCACAATAATCATTTATGTAATGGGTACGGTAGGGTCTTGTCGAAGTCCTTAAAAATTTTCATAACAATGGGCTTGTGTCATGTTTTTATTAAAACTATCCTGTTCGTATTGATTTATAAACTTTATACCAACCTCTTCTTATGTATTTATCATTGTACTCTTACAGTGTTAATAATAATAATAATAATTTAAAATACATTTTTGATCCGGGCAGGACTTGAACCGGCATCGTCAGCGTTCAGTGCTGTTGCTCTACCAACTGTGCTGCCAAGTCAATTGGTAGTGCCATCATGTGCAATAACATGTGAAATATATTTAAGTTTTTAAATGTTTGTTATTTGGGGTTTTGATCTAGTCGAAGACGCGTTGGTGAAAATTAATGTTATTATAATATCCCGATTGACACCAAAAATCGCAAAATTCAGATTTCTTCTTTCGGATGCTAAGATTTATTACAGTAAAAACATCTAATTTCCAGGCCCTCTTATAACCGTTCCGCTATCAAACCGCGTGGGTAGACGATGGATCATCATGGGCTCCAACATACCCCTGCTCCTAGGATGGCTTCTGGCTGGAGTGGCGACAAGTCTTCCAACATTATACGCAGCAAGAGTCATGTGGGGTTGTGCCACGGGCATGCAATTCGCGACCGTTCCACTTTATATTGGAGAAATTGCTGAAGTAAGATTCCCTGAACTTTCAAGTCAAAGTCAAAAATCATTTGAACACCAGCAAAAACTAAAAGTTAACTCTTAAATTGTAGTTAAATCAACTTATTTAATTATAATGTTTCATTCTTTCTATTTTGTAATGCAGCCTGTATTACAAAACAGTTTTTTAAATTAATTTTATTGCGTTTTATCAAATACCAAAAGTGGACTCTTAGTCCATTTCATACAACTGTACCAAGGCTTTAATTAAGCCGTATATAAATGTTAAAAGATAGATGTGTATTCGGACATTTGGTAGAAATTAAAAAAAAGAAAGACGGTTTTCGGAGAATAGATATACCGAACTCAAATATTTTGTCTCATATTATTATCAAACATACGTCATTAGTTCTATTTCTTAACTCTGTATTGAATAATTATTTTTAAATTTATTATGTTTAAATAATACGACTCGTTTAAATAAAACACTTTAACGATTTAAAACGCGATATATTAGTTAAACTTATTTGGAAATGATTTTAACTTCGGCTTTTTTTTATCATTTCAAAATAAGTTTAACTAATATATCGCTTTTTAACCGTTAAAGTGTTTTATTTAAATGTGTACTACTCGCGTAAACTAAAGACAGTATTTAATACGACTCGTGTTTAACATTAAGGTAAATGATATATTTAAAAATGTTCTTTGTAGGATAAGATTCGAGGATCACTAAGCGCCCTTTTCCTCCTGTTTATCAACGTGGGATTTTTGCTAGCCTATGCGATTGGTCCTTTCTCCACTTATTGGGGCCTGACTGCAGCTGGTGGTATCTTGTCCCTATTCTATGTACCGTTCACGTGGTTCATACCAGAGACGCCCTTCTTTTTGATGTTTAAAGGTAATTACTTTGTTAAGTAATTACTTTGTTAAGTATTTAACAAAGACTTGTCACTGGAATTTAACTTGAGACAAGACTGAGTTACTGGGGCACGGTTTCTTATCATTTTGCTATAAATGTTTTCAGGAAATGTAGCTGAAGCAACTGAGGTATTACAAAAACTTCGTGGTCTACCTAAAGAAGCTGTTCAAGCTGAAGTAGACGGTCTCCGAGCTATGATCGCGAGGGAATTCAAAACGGAACCAAGTGTTAAAGACTTGTGGGCTACGAGAGGAAATCTAAAAGCTTTAGGTATTTACTGGTATTTAAATAAAACACTTTAACGGTTTAAACTAGTTAATACTAGGTAATTATTACGGCCCTATGTTTTGGACGCTTTGCAGCAGTCGCGGTCACGAGGAGACTAATATATATCGCGTTTTAAACCGTTAAAGTATTTTATTTAAATGTGTACTACTCGCGTAAACTTCAGATAGTATTTAGCGTTGAACAATATTGTTGGTTTCTTTTTTAGGTATCTGCGTCTTCCTAGCAATGTTACTACAACTATCTGGTATTGATGTTCTCCTGTTCTACATGGAAGAACTCCTCGTGAAGGTCGGCACTAGGATCTCAGCATCAGACGGCACTATCATCATGGGTGTTGTACAGGTACCTTTCGAATTTTTTGGTCCTTCGAGCCTTACTTTAACTTGTACTTCCCTACTATATTCTATTCTGTTTTATTAGGTAGTTACAAGTTGCATAACACCACTTGTCGTGGACAGACTTGGCAGGAAGCTGCTCATGTGGACGACTTCACTTGGACTCACTATATTTTTGGTAAGTGGACTTTTCAGAATAAACTTTAGGCGTAAAATCTATAGCTCATATCAAGTCATTCAGTTTAAGTAAAAGTGACTTTCTTATTTGTGATATGACGTAAACACTTCACTGTGTCCATTACATCTGTCGTTTCGTCCTCAATTAAATTCTTCATAATTTAATATACTTAATGTAGCGAAAGATTATAAAGCTACTGAAATGTCTGGAACAAATCTAGTGAAAAGGTCAATTGGACACCGTATTTGTTAGTTTATATAACTGTGTTTGATGTATAATAGAATCAAATGAATACAATTTTCATATGCGATTCAAGTCACAAAAGAAATAAGTGTCCTATAAATACTTATGTCCCTAAAGAGTAGGTTTGCGACACTGACTATCCTATAATAATTCCAGGGTATCATAGGCGTGTACGCGTTACTGGATTCTCACTACAAATACAACGTGGCCCCATATGCCTTCCTGCCGTTGTTATGCCTCATCGTATATATGATATTGTTCACGTTAGGTAAGTCAACGACTATTGGTCTACTCGATCAGGCTTTCAGTCACATAAATTATTAATTTCTTAAAGTTCACAATGTGACATGATAAGAAAAAAGTAAGCAAAAGGAATACGAACAATTCTGTTATTACTATAAAATGCCTTTGAAATGCCATGAGTAGTTGTTCAAATGAAAACGAAACTCAATTACTTTATAATTAGTCATAGGCTCGAATTAATCGTCTGCATGTACTTATTCAGGCAAGTAGTTGATCAGAATTCTGTGCCCTACACGACCGAAACAATATACTGTTTCCCTTGGATTCGATCGAAATTCCCAAACTCTCGCGCGGAACGCAATGCAACATTATCTCTTTGACTACAGAAGCGGACACAGAAATGTGATCGCCCGATGGCCCGTGGGGGGAAATGGGATTTCACTTTATATAATTATACTTTTAGGCGTGGGTCCTGTCCCATGGATCTTGGTGGCAGAGATGTTCCCCGTCAGGACCAAGTGCCTCGCGAGTGGCATAGCCTCGTTTTGCTGCTGGCTAGCTGGTTTCGTCTGGACACGGTTGGCAGCACTAAACTTTAGCCTTTGTTTCTTTTTATGATAGAAAGTAAACCATGTGGTTCAATTGTAGGAAGTTGATATACCCCAGCCATATAAAATCTCAACAAGATTGTCGCTGTCTATAGTTTACGCGAGTAGTACACATTTAAATAAAACACTTTAACGATTTAAAACGCGATATATTAGTTAAACTTATTTAAAAATGATTTTTAACTTTGGCCCGACGTTTCGGATGCTTTGCAGCAGCCGTGGTCACTGGGAGACGTGACCACGGCTGCTGCAAGATTGTCGCTGTCGACATATGGCTTTAAATATTCGAAAATACACCGACTGAAAACGAAACGCGATGCAACTTCACGGCTTTTTCATCTGTAGACCACAGATCAGCTTCATGACCACCCGTTAAATATCCACGAACCACCATTTCCAAACTAAGTCCTACAAGTTTATGGCAAAGTTATGGCTCCGGCAGCAGTAGAACCCCGTTTATTAGCCATACATTGCATTACACTAAGTAGCCCGACAAAATCGCATAGTCCCACGCATGGCGTTCAATGTAAGAACTAGTTTGGACCCACGTACTTTTTTAAACATAATATAACGAGGCTATATTTAAATACTGTCTATAGTTAACGCGAGTAGTACACATTTAAATGAAACAGTTTAACGGTTTAAAACGCGATATATTAGTGAAACAGCCGTGGTCTCCCTATATTTTCTTCTACATAAACAATGTTTAACACAACAATAGAATTTAACTTAAATTTATCTTTAAATCTACTCGGTGGATAAGAATATTGGAATGATCAATACTTTGTTACCAGATTTTTCCGTGACGTAGCAGCTTCGTACGGGATCTATACAGCATTTTGGATATTAGCTGTGTGCTGTGGTTTCGGCTTCATCTTCTCCATCAGCCCATTGTTACCGGAGACGAAGGGGAAGACATTTGATGAAATACAGGAGATGTTAAACAAAGGGTAAGCTTGTTGTGACAGATGACAGTTTTTAAAAGATACACCTACAAGATACACAAATGTCATTATTGTTAATATTTTGTTTTCAGATCAAAAGAAAACAAACCAGTAGACGTCTAGTGTTAATATTATAATATTACGTTAAAAATTGTATTGTTTAGGCTTAAAATAAATCGTTGTTCTTAAACGTCATATAGAGTTGAAATATATATTTCGGTACAAACTGGTTTTAATATGATAAAGATAAATAACATAACCACGCACTGAATGTAAAAAATGTAACGTCAAATACCAACTACGATAGAATAGCTGGCGTTGGCGTAGCAGTTTTTTCTTTGACATAAGAAAACGTAGCTTAAAAAAATATAAATAAGTTTAACTAATACATTTCGCGTTTTGAACCGTTAAAAGTGTTTTATTATAATAATGAAACAATAAATTGATAATAACATTTATTTTTCCTTAATAATCCTTACAAAGTAATCATAAAACTCTATCTCTGGAATTGGAGGGGGCAGATTCTTAATCCAAGCGCGTCTTTGCCGACTTCCGCGACACCGCAGAGGGGGCACAATTTGCCTTTGTGCTCTGGCATGAAGCTTGCCCCGCACAGGGGACACTTTTCCTCAGGCTTGCCCCTATATATGGGCTTGTAGCTAATACCGCAAATGTTGAAGGGGTTGTGCTCATCGTACAATAATTGGTGTTCATCTAAAAAAATGTTTTAATGAGTTTATAGAGAGTACACAACATAATGAATATTAAAATTTAACAGTGTTGCTATTTTTTTTGCATGACACTTGCATCGTTGAGAAATTAACTTGCGTTTGATATAACTTGTTTGCTACTCTAGAGGATCTTGAAATTTCTTAGAAAATAAACAACAAATATCTACCTGTGGGTGTCTTTTCGCACGCTTGCAATATCTTTCTAGCCTGTTGCGCCACTTCTGGCCTTGGTCCCAATTCTAGCAGTCTTCTTGCGAAGGAGGCGGCCGTCCTGAAGTTCTTCAACTTGAAGAACATGTTCAGAGCTGTTCTAAGGGTCAAAATCTGGTGCACCGGTTGAAGCTTACAGTGGGTGAAGTAGGCGGCCATTTCGCATGTGCGCTTCTGTTCATCCAAAGTGTTCTTTGGCATACCTGAAGGAAATAATACATTTGAGAACTTTATTATTTTTCACATGAAGTAATATAATTTAAAAATCGAAAATAAATTGAACAATTTTTCGACTCGGGCAGGACTTGAACCGGCATCGTCAGCGTTCCGTGCTGTTGCTCTGAGCAACTCTGTTTTTTTAAATGAAATAATACATAAAAAAAAAAAAAGGGGGGGGGGGGGGGGGGGGGAAAAGGGGGGGGGGAAAAAAAAAAAAAAAAAAAAAAAAAAAAAAAAAAAAAAAAAAAAAAAAAAAAAAAAAAAAAGGGGGGGGAAAAAAAAAAGGAGGGGGAGGGGGGAAAAAAAAAAAGGGGGGGGAAAAAAAAAAAAAAAAAAAAAAAAAAAAAAAAAAAAAAAAAAAAAAAAAAAAAAAAAAAAAAGGGGAGAGAAGGGGGGGGGAAAAGGGGGGGGGGAAAGGGGGGGGGGGGGGGGGAAAAAAAAAAAGGGGGGGGGGGGGGGGGGGGGGGGGGGGGGGGGGGAGGGGGGGGGGGAAAAAAAAAGGAAAAAAAAAAGGAGGGGGGGGGGGGGGGGGGGGGGGGGGGGGGGGGGGGGGGGGGCAAAAGGGGAAAAAGGGAAAAACAACAAAAAAAAAAAAAAAAAAAAAAAAAAAAAAAAAAAAAAAAAAAAAAAAAAAAAAAAAAAAAAAAAAAAAAAAAGGAGAAAAAAAAAAAAAAAAAAAAAAAAAAAAAAAAAAAAAAAAAAAAAAAAAAAAAAAAAAAAAAAAAAAAAAAAAAAAAAAAGAAAAAAAAAAAAAAAAAAAAAAAAAAAAAAAAAAAAAAAAAAAAAAAAAAAAAAAAGGGGGGGGGGGGGGGGGGGGGGGGGGGGGGGGGAAGGGGAAAAAAAAGGGAAGGGGAAAAAAAAAAAAAAAAAAAAAAGGGGGGGGGGGGGGGGGAAAAAAAAAAAAAAAAAAAAAAAAAGGGGGGGGGGGGGGGGGGGAAAAAAAAAAGGGGGGAAAAAAAACCCCCAAAAAAGGGGGGGGGGGAAAAAAAAAAAAAAAAAAAAAAAAAAACCCCCCCCCCCCCCCCGGGGGGGAAAAAAAAAAAGGGAGGAAAAAAAAAAAATTAAAGGGGGGGGGGGGGGGGGGGGGGCCCCCCCCCCCCCGGGGGGCCGCCCCAAAAAAAAAAAAAAAAAAAAAAAGGAAGGAAAAAAAAAACCCTTGGGGGGAAAAAAAAAAAAAAAAAAAAAAAAGGGGGGGGGGGGGAATAAAAAAAAAAAAAAAAAAAAAAAATAAAAAGGTTCTCCCCCAAAAACTCTTAATTTGGGGTTGTGGCCCTTTTGTTTATAAGCAGCGACATTACAATCTATTAATAAGATACCAAGGGAAAATAGAGATATATTATTATCTAATTTATAAAAGTGTTATCCACCCCTTTTTAGACATTTTTTTTATAAGATAGCATTAAAATTCTTCTCCAACTCCTTTCTGAATAATTTAGGTCATTCAATATATTTCCATCCCACTCGATAACTGATCAATTATCACTAGGTAAAGTATCCCTCCAAGGCGTCCACCGGTGTACCAGAGAACATTACGGAGTAGGGATAAACCGAAGTCGGTCTTACCAGATACACACTATAAATTGTCTAGAAATACTTTATATGGCAAAACAACGTTTGCCGGGTCAGTTGGTTAATTTACAACATTATAGCATTTTTTTGAAGCAACTTATTACATTCTAAGTCGCGTGTAATATTGACTAGTCACAATCAGTATTTAAATTGTAGAGCAAAGCTTCAACCAATTTTATAGATGACCTAAATGACACTTTTCCCTCTCCCATAGTAGATAAAAATTATAAGACTATAAGCTCAATAGTAGATCGTATTTGACAATACATTATGGACTTTAGTGCGTTAAAATTAGAGTCGCTTTCAGAGCTACTTCTTAAAATTACCTTTCCTCGCCGTCTCCATTTGCAAGCCCAATAGGTACTCTCTGCAGATCGTCAGCAACTGTTGCGCTTCGGCCAACTCCTGCTTCGAGTCGACCAGCAGCAGAGGAACGAGACGCACGATCCGCTGCAGCCGGTCTATCGCATCCGTGAACTTGCCGCTCGTTGTTAGTTGGTAGCATTGTTGTAGTTGGCCCACTAAGTCGTTTAGCTTCGCGGCTAGAAAATAAAGTTTTATTAATTCTTAATACTTATTAATATTATAAATAAATTTCATGTTTTCTTTAGTCTACGCGAGTAGTACACATTTAAATACAACACTTTACCAGTTTAAAACGCGATATATTAATTAAACCTATTTGAAAATTATTTTTAACTACGGCCCGACGTTACGGATGTTTTGCAGCAGCCATGGTCACGGGTAGACCGTAGTTAAAAATAATTAGAGTATGGCAATGTATGGCTTAATGCATGACAAATTTTAATTTCACTCTTGGTAAAAAAAAAATTAACACAAAACGGTTGCAACAAAACTAATATACACCTGAAAAATGTATCTCAAAGAAATTGAATTTGAAGAAATCTTTTTTGAGAGACTTACAGTTTAAAACACATTTAATTTACTCGCTGCGCGAAGCCAAAACTATAATAATTATAGTAATATTACAATATTGAGTCAGCAATTATTGCTTACTTATAACAGGCAATAAGTCCTTCCCGCTAGCCTCTTTCCAGTTCCTGTGTAGATGCGCTTGAAGTGGGGGGAGGCTGGCCAAAGCACTGAACATCACGCGCCCACACGAGAACATACTCAGCATGGTTTCGGAATAAGGCTCGAAGTTCACTATTCCGACTTGTTCGTTCAGCAATCTGGAAAGGTTTGTTACGAAAACATGGTCTTAAAAAAACATTTATCATACCATAGCTTGGCGCAAATTACTTTGAAAAAAAAGTCATAGAGATATATTAAAAAATTACAAAGCTAAATCTTTTAATGTACTTGTTATTTTTACCTGAAAGCGATTTCAAACTGTCCTGTCGTGACGTAGTCGTGTGCAGTCTTTAGTTTCGCGCCCGTGGCCAAACTGACGCCTCGCGTAGGCGCCACAAAGTATTGCGAACTGTCTTCACCGCCATCTATATCAGCTAGAAGCAGGAAAGTTGTTTTTAATATTTTTTATTATTTTACAAAATATGCGTAAAGTGAGTAAAAAATAAATAAAGAAAATAAAAGCAATTTAATGCAGTCATACTTCATTAGGACTCTTGTGTTTTTAATTTAAATAATAATGAATTCAATATATGTACTTTACCTATAACATAAATTAATTGAAAATTGCAAACAATGTGATACTATCATTAAAAAATCTCCATTGATAGAAGCAACAATGTAATAATTAAATACATACTTTTGTTTCAAAATCGAAAATAAATTGAAAAAATTTTCGATTTTTAAATTATATAGTGCCTTCATGTGCAATAACATGTGAAAAATATTAATGTTTTCATACATACTTTTGTTTCAATGTGGTATTAAGGCATTTTTATACTATACTCGTGAATTTTAAACATTATAGAATCTTACCAGGTATAGGCGCAAGTTCCTCTGGCAATTCCAAGTCTTCATCTCCAACATCCCAACCGCCATCGTCGCACGCATCCTCTTGGGGTTCCCCACCTTCTTCACCTTCCTCCTAAAATAATGTTTATTCATAAAATGTATAACATATGTTAAGTAACGAGGACGCAATATGTAACTAAATTTAAAAGGTATAAATTATAGTTTATAATGATTTAATGTTCCTTATCCTTACCTTGTCGAGCACAACATCATCATCGCCCCAGGCCCCACCGGCTTCAAGGGGTTCTTCAACGTCTGCAACAGCGCTAATGGCACTGGTATCTCCAGCTGCACCCGCGCGCGCTGTCCCGGCTACTTCAAAGAAGCTCCTATGGAGATTAAAATGATTTACAAAAAACGTTAGGTACATAATAAGGAGGAGTTTAAACAATGTTAGACATTATTGTGTGGTCCTTCGAGTCGGACGACAAATTTTTTAGTCGAGTTTTATAGATAAAAGCATTTATGTGGCAAAGACAAACACTGATATATACATAATGCATCAAGATTTATACTTACTTAGACACGGCCAAAAGTGGCCAATTGCCCTGAGCGCGTAAGACCGGTAATGGAGGGGTTAGGCCTTCTGCGTTGGGGTTGGCTTCCGGTACAGGTAAGCCTGAGGCTTCTATAGCCGCCTTCAGTAATTCTGCTTCTTCAGTTTGTTTATAATTTATGGCAGTTAAGTAGGCGAGAGAAAGCTGAAAACATAATTTCTATCAAGTATTCGAGCAAGATAATCTTTGCTCTTCGAAAAACTGTGATGTACTTTTTGCATCATAATAAATATCAAAAACAGCACTAGCATTTAATAAAAGGTAACAGGAACCATTTAAATTAATAATAAAATCGCGATGTAACTTTGTGATTAATTTAGCAATATAATACATCCTAAGAAAACTATACCTGTCCAGAATTCTTCAGCAGCCTAATTCTCTCTTTAACATCACCAAGCAAAAGGGATCCTTGAAACTGCGCAGAGACATCCTTTCGTATTTCCGCAATCTTCATCATCTTGCGTAGCTTCTCTAGGTTGCCAGTTATCAAATACAAAAACGAGAGTTTGTCGAAGTTCTTCGTACGTTGGTAACACATCTCTACTATCTGTAACAATGATAAATATCAAGTTAACAAGAACTAATAGTAACTACTTTAATTGTTCTCTGAGTTCTCGAGTTTCTTATATAAAAACTATATAAATGAAAAGATTTTTATTACAAATAAGTATTTATTTTTTTTTCCAGCGATTATAAGGTGCGTATAGAAATGTACCTGATGGTTTCCAGTCGCAAGTGCCTCTTTGGCCAATTGGTCCCATGCATCTGGTTCATCTATGCTTTTAGCTGCTTCTAGCGCCACTTCAATGTTGCCACACTGCAACGCCAGTGACAAACGTGTGCGGGCGTCTTTCACAAAGTGTAGAGCGACCTCTGGGTAGCCTGTTAAAAGAAAAGAATATAATTTAAAATTGGAAGAAACACGTGCGTCTTTGAGCATTAAAACTGTCCATGCACTACCAAGTAAACCAGGTAATTAACAATACAAACCTTTTTCCTGGAGGTAAGCTATGATACTCTGCCCAACCAACTTAGCTGTTCTCACCATATGTAGTACTTGATCATATTGGCGAGTCACTAGCGCCAGTTTAAATCTAAAAGCACAAAGGTAGTGTAATGTGACTGAAGATTTAACTAATTTGTTTTCAAGTTTTGGCCTATAACTTGAAACTTAAACCAAGTAAAAATTTATATATTTTCTTGGCTGAAAATAATATATAAAATATACGTTTTTACCTGTATTCAGTGGGATCGATTGTTAGTACTTTTGGTCTTGCCTCACGATCCAAACAAACAACTTTAGCAGCGCCCTCGCTCGGTAGAACCTTAACAACGTATACGGGTACGTCCAGTGTACGTATAATGCCGAAATCTCTGAAAAATAGAAAAAGCGATAACTATAACACTACAAAGTTCATTTATTTGTTTTACTTATTCTTGTGCTTTAATCGCATTTCAAAATTTATATTCAGGTTTCTGATGACAAAAGACAAAAAATATCTTCAACCTTTTATACCATTAGAGCTTTTCTTAATGAAACAGTTATGTCTTAAATTAATTATTTATAATTATAATCCATATAATTTCAATAGCTCACCCGTCCTTACAGCAGTACTTTATATGGTTCGCTGTGGTATAAATAAATACCGGCTGCGGTGTTGAGTCGTCGAACGCACCAGATTTGACTCTAGCGCCCTCTGTAATCGAGCACAACTGTTCCAGTTTCTTAGTGCATATCGTTACCGTGTGCTTGCTCAATAGCGCCACAAGCGACATATCGGAGTTCCAAATTGCGTAACGACATTTCGGTACTTTCACCTGTAAAAGGGTAAAAAAAATAGATATAGTGTATTTTTTCTAACACACAAGTTTGTTGCACAAGCACACAAATGACGCTAAAAACATTGGCATTGGATTTTATATTAAACTATTCCTTAGTTGGCTGTCATAAAACTCATTTTGATTTAATTAGGTTATTTGATTTAGATATAATCGATACACCAGTTCTTTATAGTTTAAAATCGGAAAAAGGATACACTATACTCGTTGTCTTACCGCCAACTACAGCAGGTTTGATAGGATACTATCCTCCCAGTAATTTGTAATTAGTTTACTCACGCTGGCTATAGTCCTTTTTTGTTGAACATCAAGCAGCTGCACGCAGTCAGGTTCACGCAGCAGCAGCATGCCAGTGCCGGCATACATTATTTCATCGCAATTTGGTGTAGATATTTTCTTGGACACTTCGTTCTTTAGGTTCTTAATTACCAGCTGTAATACAACGTTTAGACAAGGGATATTTAAATATATATTGAGATCAAGGATGTACAACCTACAGAAGGAAGCCAACATTTGATTTTGATTATGAGATTGTTTTTTTTTTTAATATGTCTCACCTGATTGTTCTTCTCCAACGCGGCAAATCTGTTCCTCGCCACCCAAACAGCAGCAGCAGCCTGCCCACGCGCAGGCTCGCCGCTGACTTCAGTGCCCTCACGCGGGGCATTATACAACTCGTAGGTGCAATTGTCACCGATGCGCCAAGTCACCAATACACAGAACTCAGCGTGGTTTAGGGACATGCTATATGTGAAGAAAAGTTTAATGTAGTACTTTAAAAAATCTATTTTGTAAATGTTTACCACGGACACAACTAAAGAGGCTGAGTGTTTTTTTTAACGTATGTTCAAATCTGTCTACAAATAGTTTTTGACATACCTGTAAGGCTGGTGACGACTACCTCCTTTGATCTGCATGACGGGGGCATCCTTATTTGCCTGCATGTCCAATTTACGTAACTGTCTAAAAATAAGAAAAGGAATATGGTTTATTATTAAGTGATAAAACAATTATAATTGTATTCAATTAATGGACTATTTTAGACGTGATTATGAAAATATTGCAGTTTTCTCTAAATCATTTAAAGCAAATCTGGACAATTTTGATAAAAAACAGCTCTAGAATTCACAAAAAATGCTGTGCCATACCGTAACGTCAGCGTGGCGCTTCAGTTTCAATCTTAATATAAATGTTTAAGTTTCATAATATGTCTATATACTTACTTGTCTTTAATGTAGAAAAGTATGTTATTATGGACTGCATAGGCTGGTCTTTCCCTCTGCAGTTTGAATAGTATCATTCCTGCATCATGTCCCGCAGCAAAGAGGTTTAAAGTAGGATGTGCCGAGAGCACCCAGTAGCTGAAAAATAGAAAACACATAAGTTGAACAGGTAATACAAAGGTTTAATATTTTTTTGCCAATTTAAAGTCAAATTATATCATGAATTTTGATAATAAGTCCTTAAATACATAAAATGAAATTGAGAGATATAACAATTCTAACAAGCTCAGTTTTGTAAATCTAAAACACCGTTACTTTATGTCAGCATAATTCTCGGGTCACTTAATTAAGAATTACCCCCTAAACGTAATTTTACAAAAATTTTGTTACCGTTCATGCTCTCGTCTGAAAGTGTACATGCAGATCCGTTTAGTCATATCCCACACACGGATGGACTTGTCCTCACTGTTCGACAGTATCAATTCATGCCGAGCGTGGAATAATGCGCACGAGACGTTGTTGTAGTGCCCTCTGCAAGTGTCGACCTCCCATGCCTAAGATAAAAAGAATATAGATTTTTATTAACTATTACACAAGAGGGGACAAGCAAAGGATATGCACAATAGCATGTGAAACGCTGTACCTCTATAACATCAAAATAAGTGTGCTACCAACATAATATAGTTTTTTTTATCTTTATTTAATGGCCTTTAACCTTTCTAGACTATGACGCCCCATAGGACCTAAATTTACAAACTATCAAACATAGACATTTTAAAACTATGATTACTTTATAAGTTTAATAGCTTCCTTAGCTTTAATTGCCTTCTCAAAAATACATAGGCGATGTAGTTTGATAAAATATGATAGCACAAAGCCAAATACTTTAACAGATTTAAAAACCACCTTAGCGTCATTCATCCTCCAAAGTTTGACTTGTCTGTCATCAGCTGCAGATACAATCAACGGCAGTGTGGGGTGGAATGCGGCCCAGTTGACTCCACGGTCATGGCCTTCTAGAACATGTTTAACCACTGCATCAGCCTGAAATTAATAAATAACACTTAACTTAATAGTTGCATTCTATTGCTAAATAATAGGTGAACCTAATGCCTCCATCATTAAAATTGATTAAAATACTCTATGTACTTACCTGTCCAAAAAGATCAGTAGCCTGTGGATTTCTTAAATGATCCGCCAAACCACTAGGCCCTGGGGCCACACTCTTCTTCCTCAAACCAGAAAAGTCCCACACTCTAACCGACTGGTCCAAAGAAGCAGAGACAAGCAAATCTTCCGTTGGGTGAAATTGCGCACACATTACATAGTGATTGTGACCTGTGAGGACGCTTATACACTGCCGTGATTGCCAGTTCCAAATTCTAATTGTCTAAAAGAAATAAAATAATTTTTATTAAGATCTATAACACTTCGAAGAATTATATTTGATTTTATCATTTAACACAAGTTGTAACAAAATAATGCAAAAGATATTTCTTTAATTTTCACCTACATTTATTATAGGTAATGTGGTAATGTACTCTTATGAAAAGGTTAGTTCCGGAATATAAAACACTAACCTGATCATCTGAAACACTAAGGATCCAGGGATACTCGTGGTGGAAAAATGTTGTTCTGATGTAATCCAAGTGACCTAGCAATGTAAACAAGCATCTTCTCTGCTTGTAATTCCAAATCTGAAATAAAATTTTTAATATATAGTTGCTGCGTAGTCTTTCAATAAATAATTTTTTAATTTTCGTTTTTTTGTTTTGCTTGGTATATATTTTTTAATTTAAGCTAAAACAAATAATAACTTATAATTTTTTATCAGATAAAAGTTTATTGTAACTTATCTAAACTCTACTGTTACTGTAATCCACTCCTTAAGGTCTTTATAAAATGCACAATATTTCTTTGACCATATCATTATTTGCTTTTTTATATTTGCTAATCTGCAACTTTCTTCACAAAGTTTCAAGTGGGTAGACAACATTAAGACATTATTTCCGAAAACAAAACTTTTATGATAAGGATATTTATAGTTTTTTTTTTCAGTTTTTGATGGGGGTAATTGTTAATGTAATTCACATAGATAATAAAACATGGAATACAAAAAATAATGAAACCCTTTAATAGTATTATAATTATACCAATTTACCTTTATTTTATAATCATCGCCTCCTGATACGAAGAGAGGCTGTTGAATATGGAAACAGATACCACGAACAGGACCATCATGTTCGTCAAATTTCTCCAATAAAGTGCACATTCGATAGTCCCACAGCTGAATAACACCATTGTGCAAACTGGCTAAAACCCATGGTCGTTTCGCGTGAAACGATATCCCCTTGACTCGGGCTGATTTCGTTTCGAACTTGGTTAACATTTTGTGTACTTTTTCCGTGTAATTCAATTAAAAATCGCCGAAATACGCCCGAATTATTTCAAGCAACTATACGCAAGCAATTTCATGACTGATGACTACAATATGTCAACGTCAAAGCTGACGTGACACGTATTTAATTATTTCATGGAATGCAACAGAATGCAATATTATTTTTAACCGACTTCATATTAAATACATGTTAAAATGACAATTGACACCTTTTTATTCTTAATGTCTGTCTCTCTCTTTATCTGTGTCTCTTTCAAAGTATTTTTCTACTACTTGCTCACTCTCAGTGTTTGTCTAGTTTCAGAAAACTTTTAAAATAACATGTGCACATCAACGATTTTATTATATGGAAATTATTGACAGCAAGGCTTGTTTTTATTATTACATTTAACTTCAACCGTACCTATTTCTTTACTAATATGACTACAGAAGATAGTATAGGTGAAGGCGAATACGCAATAAATTTATCTTATCCAGGATTTGATCTCGGAGAAGCAAAGAAAGATGTTATTTCTGGGCCTGGCACGTATATATTTAATGGACGTATCCGCAGTGCATTAGCTGGAGTAATTAACGAATACGAAGATGAAAAAACTAAAGTAAGCAGTTGTAATCGTGTTTAACTTATTTTAAATTTGCCACGAGGTCTAATTTAGAAATGCTCGAATGAAAATTATGGATTTGTTGTATAAAGACACTTAAATTTCAGGCTAAAACAATTTCTGTAGTAAGTCCTAAAGCTCCCAGTATTGTACCTAAAACAGGCAATAAAATAACGGCTCGAGTAACATCAGTTAATGCTCGTTTAGTACAATGTCAAATACTGTGTGTTGAGGACTTTGTTATGTCCCGACCCTACAGAGGGATATTGAGAAAAGAGGACATAAGATTATTGGATAAGGACAAAATAGACCCATATAAGTGCTACAGACCTGGTGATATTATTCTCGCAAAAATTGTATCCTTTTCAAACAAGCATATCAATAATAGGTTAAAATTGCAAAAATTCAATGTTATCAAATGTTTGAATTTCAGGTGGGCTTTCTATACCCTAGATCCTAACCATAGGTTCTTTGAATCCATTGTTAAATAGAAGTCGGGATTTAAACCTCATAACTAAATAATGATTTTGATCTAGCAGGGCACTAAGGTTTCACCACCAACTTGGCTGTAAATAACATAGACACTTGTTGGCTGGATACCCCATAGGGTGGAATTGGAATTGTAAAATTTCTTATAAAAAGGTCTAGTAACTAATTTTAACAAAAAGTTTAAGAACAATTTCTAAATGTATAATGTATATCTATCTTTTCCTAAATTGTTTATCAGTTACCAATGAGGGAAATGCACTGTTACTATTTAACAACAGCGGAAAATGAGCTTGGAGTTGTCATATGTACTGCAGAGGGCTCCCCACAAGGAATACATATGGTCCCCATTAGCTGGTCTGAAATGCAGTGTCCTAAAACATTAGTTAAGGAAAGTAGAAAAGTTGCCCGTGTCATACCAGAAACTATTAATAGGTCATTTGTACTTGCAACTCCAGGTGAAGATGAAAAAACTGGTTTAGAAAATACAAAGACTGATTAAACTTTTTGTTTTATTTATTTCCATGTTTCCACATGTTATATTAAGATATTTAAATAATGGGAATTGCCAAGTTATTAATAACTATCTGCTTTTTTGAAAAATTGACTCTGTGGACACAGATTTTGATTCTGTGGTATTATTTGATATGTCAACTAATTACCAACAACAACAGAAAATCAAAGTCAACCTCGTTGTAGTACTGTCAAATATCATTTGAATTATGAAAATCTCTTGAGAATTTGTGTAAAATAGAAAAATTTAGCGTTTTATCTACCGAGATTTATTATACCTGTTTCCATTTATTACAATTAAATCTATAGCTCATTGTTATTGAACTGAGACATTCCAGTAAGATTTAGATGTAGATTTCTTTATGTTATGTCACTATTGTCCTGTTATTTACAAAGTGATGCTGTATACTTTTCGTGTGTAGTTAAGTAGAATTCGCTACAGTGTTTTTCAGGCTTTCAAAGAGTTCAGACGCTTTAAAAGTCTTTAATCATGAAGTTCGCGGAGCATTTGAGTGCTCATATAACACCAGAATGGCGAAAACAATACATTAACTATGAGGTAAAGATAAACTTATAATTACCAAGTAATCTCTTCTTTTTTCAAATTTTACAACCAAATCGTAACCTTTGAATAGCTAATATATATATTTTTTTTTTAAACCCTTCCTAGATTCAAAGAGTATTCATAGGTATATTATGCTTATTGATGTACAGTTGCAAGTCTCAACAATAAAATAATTGATGTATCTTATCACATTCATGCTATATTTAGCATATAGATATTGACATTATAAATCTATTATAATAGGCCTTATCTTTATGAGTTAGTTAAATAAAGTTACTACTAAATTTCCTACTTAGATCCGATTATATTAGTGTAAATTTGTCAGAGTTAGATATTATGTACTCATATATCATATCTTTACAACTTTGTATTCCTAACTTTTTATCATAATAATCACAAAACTATAATGGATATCACATTATATATTTTTTTAAGTTAATGCTATGTATAATATTCTATATTACAATCTAACAAATTATAGAATATAGCGTAGACAGAAAAAACCCATTCCTTTAGGAATCTAAAATCTTCTTAGTTCTATTATGGGAGCATCTATCTGTGTGTGTGATTGTTACCTTACAAGTTCATATATCATAACTGCTTTGTCAGTTAATTTTTCAAATTCATTTATCTTCTGTTTTCACTGTTATCTGCTGTCTCAAAGTAAAAGAGATACCGGCTTCAGACATTCAGAGATACCGGCGACAGTCAGAATTGTGTTTACATTATTCTTATGTTGCTAACAGATTAGAAACATTTTCCCTTGTTATATTACTATGTTTAATTGCACCATGTACAGCGTATTTTAATTGTAATAAAATGGATTTAGATATATGTGCTTGGCTCTTTTCTGTTTATTGGCAAAACAAACAGATAACTCCCACTGGAGGCTTATGATTGAATATTATTATTAGAATAGGCAAAATCCTCTTTGAAAGTAAGACATAACATCCTCTGTAACTCTATGCATAGGAAATGAAAGCAATGTTGTATACTGCAGTGGAAGAAGCACCATCAGCCGAGAATGTTGAGCCAGAGGTGCTGTCGAGACACTTTGCTAACTTTGATGAGACATTCTTTCACTATTGCGATGAGGAATTAAAGAAAATCAATACATTTTATTCAGGTATGTTCTTTGTGTAATACAGTTAATTATCTGTAATCTAGGAGATTAGTCATAAAAATTATTTCTTTCAGAGACATTGGTAAATTCCATTTTCAAAATATGTATAGGATACTTTTTCTGTTGGTTTAATTGAATGGTTTAATTACAGACAGTTTGTACATTTGAAACATGTATTCCAGGATTCCTACCCAAAACTGTAACATGCTATTTATGTGATAATCTTTTTACTAACTAAACCATAAAGGCTGTAAATTTATATTGTTCTGTATTTAAAAAATGAAATGCAATTAGTTACACATTACACATAAGTAACTAAGGCATGTGATTAGTCTATTCTACCTGCTGACCATTTGACCTAAGCAAAATAATGGGTAAATTAAATACAATTCTGCTATTTACTAGCCAATGTCTTATATGTTGTTTAAGCAGTTGTTTAAGATCTTTATGAAGTAAAAGTACTTTAAAAACGCATTATATTTAGTTTAATTATTTGTAGAAAAGTTAGCAGAGGGCACGAGAAAGTATGCAACTTTACAAAGCGAGTTGAAATCGCGTTTTGATACGATGAAGCCGAAAAGTGGGGGAGACAGTAAGAAGGCTGTGCCCAGGCGCAAACTACAGGAGCTCAAGTTGGCGTTTAGCGAATTTTACCTTAGTCTAATACTATTACAGAACTATCAGAATTTAAACTATACAGGATTTAGAAAGATATTGAAGAAACACGACAAGGTAAGGAATAAACCTAATTAAATAATAATTGAATACTGTCTGTCGCTTACACATTTAAATAAAACACTTTAACAGTTTAAAAAACAATATATATTACTTTTTTTTTTACTTTTGAATATCTCGTTTAAACCGTTGAAGTGTTTTATTTAAATAATAATTTGTTTTTTTTTTTATGTATGTATTAGACCAAGATATTCTACTAAAATACAAAAGCATCAGAAAATATCAGAGTGATGGACGAGGTGTCTTATTGTTTTAGGTGTCTTCTTATTTTATATACATAATATATTAACTTAAGGTCGCGGGGCCCACAATTTATTTGTAAGGGGTTGGTAGTTTCAAACTATAATTAAAAAACGCGTAAGGTATTGTTGACATCACGGACGAAAACTAAGCATTTTTAAGATGTATTTTATGATTAGACGATATCCGGGATACACCCATTTGATAAATACCTAACTAGGCTTGAAACATTCAAATTTTACATGTAAAAGATTTATTAAAAAAAAAAAGGTCGAAGGTACAAACGTGAATCGAATCCGCACTGATCCTGCAAGTGGGCTATGCCCATATTTTTTTCTGTTTGTTAAAATGTATACCACTAGGCTAAAAGGATATCAACCGGTGTTTCACGATTACAAAGACGTCATGACAAACAATTTTCTGTGTGATCATGGTTGACAAAGCGTTTCTTATAAGATTTCACGATAGTGTCATTACCAAACAAAAAAATGGTTTTAAACCTCACAATCACACTGTTGACGCCCTTGAAACACCACCGAGAAGAGCGAATCGATTTCGTGCAAAAATTTAAGTCAGTCACCAATTCATAGTAAAATTTGTTATATCTTTAAATAACAAATAAATAACATGTAAATAAATAAATAAACATTAGCGTACATAAATAAGAATTAAAGAGAGAAAAGAGAGAGAGTTTTTTTTTTTATGATAGAGCAAGACTGCATGAAGTTAACTTGCTGGAAAGTGAAATTAACTCAGACATCTAAACAAGATGCGCTGGCGACTAATATTAGCATTGGATATTTGAAAATCCACAGACTGTTTCCACAAATTTGTCATATCTTTAAATAACAAATAAATAACATGTAAATAAATAAATAAACATTAGCGTACATAAATAAGAATAAAGAGAGAAAAGAGAGAGATTTTTTATGATAGAGCAAGACTGCATGAAGTTAACTTGCTGGAAAGTGAAATTAACTCAGACATCTAAACAAGATGCGCTGGCGACTAATATTAGCATTGGATATTTGAAAATCCACAGACTGAAGTTGAAATGTGATCAAACTTCGGCTTTTGCGTTTGGACTGGAAGAAATGTTTGACACTCTTACCATTCATTTAATAGTTAGATTTGAAGACATTTTTTTTACATGGTAACCATCGTTGATATTTAGTCACACATTGCTACAACTGGAACAACGATCCCGGTCTAGCCGATGCAAAGCCGATGCCCCCCTCGGGGCACTCTTGGTCTAGCTGCTTACGATTGTTTGTTTGTTCCAGTTATTAAATGTAAGCAACGGCGCCCAATGGCGGGCGGAACACGTGGAGACATCACATTTCTACACAAACAAGGACATAGATAGATTGATCAGCGACACAGAGGCTACGGTTACCAATGATCTTGAGGGTAAATGTCACTGAAGCGAATATGTATCTGATACTAATTTTTAATAGTCAATATGTACATTGATTGAATGCTCTTGAGTTAGAAAAATAGTGCATAATCGACATTTTCAAGTGATAGGCACTTCAAATGCACATTTCTATCATCCTAACATTTATATGCTGTTTTACGTGTTGATAAAATTTTGGCTTACGGCAACTACTATGTAAAACTAGTTACTAGCTAGAAAATATTGGAGAGTCAAATAATTAAAATTTCAATGTTAAATTTTCAACCCAATCCTTTTATTACTATTAAGCAATTGTACTAATTTTTATAAATATTTAAAAAGAAAGCCTGCTCTGCTTGTTGAAAATCTTAATGTGGAAACTTTTATCGCCGTGCCCTAATTGAAACCCCTTTCTCCTAGTGGGCATGGGGAAAATACATTTTTTCCTTTTCTTTACGAATCCACTTTAGTTATACACAAGTTGGCAGACGTCTGCGCCCTGCCCGATCGTGACGGGAATCGAACCCAAGACTAAACACATCGCAATGCGAGGTGTTTAGTCATTGAGGTACAGAGGCGGTCTGTTAGCCGTTAAGTGAGGTGTAAATTAAAACAATTATATAAGTAAATCATAAATACTATTATTCAAGGTGGCGACAGACAAAAGGCTATGAAGAAGTTGCGAGTGCCACCTCTGGGAGAACAACAAAGTCCGTGGACAACATTTAAAGTGGGACTCTTCTCTGGGTCATTTATAGTGCTTTTGATAACAGTAGTGCTTTCAGGTGAGATTCATATTATGTATTGTTTGCATTAATGCACTAAATTTAAACAGTTCGAGTGGAAATAAAAAAAAAGCATATGCTTTCCTTAAAATGCTCATTTGTCTCTCATAAATAATTAATTAATATATTATGATTATTTATCTGTATTAGATACTAGTTTTGTTGACATTAAAAAAGTTTCAATATAAATACTGTATCAACAATAAATGATTAAACATAATAATTCTTATATGCTTTATAGTGAAACAGTAAAGTTTATATAAATAAAAGCGTAAAACGGAATATTTTAACGTACCCAAATAAAAGATAAAACCTTAAAGTAAACGGAGTTATCGCTAAGCTAACAAGCAGTTGCATTTTGTTTATTCAGTACAAATTTACTCACAGACCATTAGACCTATTTATTCTATCCTCCATGGTCACCATAGATAAGAAATATTTGTGGCACAATTTATTATCTATTTATAAATTAATGTTTGAACTTGTAACAGTAATTTATTATTTTACGTATAATATATAATAAATTAAAAGACATTACAAACTTGTTGCAGGAAAATATATAAGTTTATTTAGCTTATGTCAAATATTAACTTTATTTTTTATGAAATAGGAGGGCAGACAAGCATGGGGTTCGCGCGGGAAACGCGATTAACCTACATGGATTTTTCATTAGAACGGTGGTTCGTGACCCGGACGGAATTTATTTCTACCACTGATTTAATATCTAGCTTTTTCCAGAAATCCATCATGTTTCAGAAAAAAAAATGATTATAAACATCTTATAGTCCCAGGTGGGATTTGAACCCAACGAGCCTTTGATTACTCACACATTTCTACCATTAGCCCATTAGAAGCATAATTTTTGAAGAGTTATTGAGCTCTTCAAAAATTATGCTTCTACTTATGGATTCTTCAAAATTCAATAAGTGTATCGGTTTGTTAAACTTTTCTGCTCCATATTCAGCTAAAATACATCACTATCCCTTTTTTACAGCACTATTCCACGAAGGCGGCACAGATAACTTCAAAACAGCCTTCCGGTTGTATCGCGGTCCGTTTCTTCTAGTAGAGTTCATATTCCTGATTGGCATCAATGTGTATGGCTGGCGCAGTTCTGGTGTGAACCATGTCCTCATTTTCGAGCTGGATCCAAGGAAACATCTGTCTGAACAGCACTTGATGGAGCTGGCTGCGATATTCGGCGTCGTATGGGCGCTGAGTATCTTGAGTTTTATTTATAGGTCTGTACTAGAACGATCGTTTTTAGAAGTGGGATGGCACTAATAATTTTCACCTTTTTTATTCATTACTCGAAATACACAGACACCAATATTACCTAAGTTTACTAAAACAATCTAAAAGTATTAACTTATATTTAAAAGTGTGAAGTTTTGGTTGTTTTAGGCATTATGGTGTGAAGCCTATTAATTTTAATTTTGTTTTTTTTTTTTCAGTGCAAGCCTTAGTATACCGCCGTTTGTGAATCCCCTGGCATTGGTAGTGATAATGCTGGCCTTCCTTATGAACCCACTCAGAGTCTTCAGGCACGAAGCGCGGTTCTGGTTTCTTAGGATATGTGTGAGTTATCAGAATGTCATTTTTCGGTTATCACACACAATCCAACTTTTGTTTAACCATTTAATAATATAAAAAAACATTGTTTGTAGTTTACTCGTATGCGCGTGTACTACTCGCGTAAGCAAAGAAGGTGGTCTTTATTATTATATTCTATTATTATATTCTACAAATTTTCAACTTTTAAATTTGTGCTTTATCCAGGGTCGAATATTGGCCGCACCGTTCATGCCGGTTCTGTTCGCGGACTTTTGGCTGGCGGACCAGTGGAACTCTTTCGTCTTTGCCTTCCTCGACTTCCATTACCTGGTCGCGTTTTACGTGGCCGGAGCTGACTGGTTTAATGTGAATGGTGAGTTGTCTGAGAAAGACTAAAGTTGAGTTTGACAATATTCACGCATTTTTTTTGAAGCTGCTGGGGTTAAGACAGGGGTAACAGGGGGGACTAATATATACTAATCAATGGGTCGCGGGTCACGAACCCCACCGGGTCCAACATGTTTTAAATTTTATAATTTTTCTATAATGCATTCGCTTTCAGCTATAAATCCAGATAGTCAACTGGTAGTAGGAACGTCGAAATTTCATTCGAGTCACGAACCACCGTCCACAGATGAAGTAACCAAAGTCAATGAAGATCGACTGCGCATTTTGTTAAGATGCTGGGGCATTTCCCCTACCATCAAGTGAACCCAAGCTTTTCTGTCCACCTCTATCATAAAAGATGGCCGCGAAATCCTTTGAGAACACATCTTCTATATCCGTCTAAGTACTTTTTTTTAAATTTCAGATGGATTCGAATCAACGAAGTGGTACATAATTTCGCGGGCCGTGGTGAACATAATTCCGGCGTGGACACGGTTCTGGCAATGTTTGCGACGGTACCGCGACAGCAGAGAAGCGTTTCCGCATCTAGTGAATGCCGGAAAGTACTCCACCACTTTCTTCGTGGTCCTTTTCTCCACTCTGAGGGCTATTTACAAACGTACGTTTCTTCACTATATAGTATAAAACAGTCATTTCTTCTGTCCTTAACGCTTAAATCTTTAAAACTACGCAACGGATTTGGTGCTTTTTTTTACATAGTAATCTCTCAAACTCAAGAGGAAGATTTTTAATCACCGTGCACAGTTATGTAGTATATTTAGTAACAGCATTTCAACCGAGCAAAGCCGGGGCGGGTCGCTAGTAGTTTAATATTCTGTACTCTTTTAAATAAAACACTTTAACGGTTTCAAACGCGATATATTAGTTAAACTTATTTGAAATTGATTTTTAACTTCGGCCCGACGTTTCGGATGCTTTGCATCAGCCGTGGTCACGGGGAGACTAACCCGAAACGTCGGGCCGAAGTTATAAATCATTTCCAAATAAGTTTAACTAATATATCGCGTTTTAAACCGTTAAAGTGTTTTATTTAAATGTGTACTACTCGCGTAAACTATAGACAGTATTCTGTACTTTTATTAGTCTATGTATAGTAGTAGCGAAAGCGCTAAAGAATCATATTAAGTTACACTTTATCTTCGTAGACCATTTGACTAACTATACTCACTATAGTCGGTTGTCACGGTAGCTCATTGGATAGAGCAACAGACAATTCGAGTCCTGCCTCTGTTGTATATTTCATCAATCATACTTTATTAAGCCCTTTTCTGGAAACGAACCCGTGCTTAAGGCATTGCTAGGTAACGCATTTAATAATAATTGAGCTACGGGGACGGTTTAAAAACATGGATTAAAGAATATATTAACAGAACCGAAAGGATAGAATAAATGCGTTAAATATTCTTTCTTTCTTCTCCTTTATATTGATTTGTGTCGAGGTTTGTCTTACTATGTTTATCTTATTTACAGCAAACTATGCTGATACATACGACAATCCGTTTTTATATGCGTGGTTCGGCTGTCAGTTCATTTCGTCCTGCTACACTTACACGTGGGATGTGAAAATGGATTGGGGACTCCTCAGCGTGGGTCCGGGCGCTGAGAACGCATTCCTCAGAGACGAGATTGTCTATAGTGTTTGGGTAAGGCATATTTGTATTATTAATGATCAGCATGCATCTACATGCTAATATTAAAATTATGCGTTGATTTTATGAGGGCGTTAAAATGCTTCGTCGTTTTAAAGATATCTTTTGGTATGGTAGCAATTTGTGCTGATAATCAACGGGTCATTGGTTCGGCCCGAGTCCAACATTTTTTTTAAATATGGGAATTCATGTGGAAATCTGGACATTCAATAGATGGTATTAATATCGAAATTGCGTCCGCGGATGGAAAGGCCGTAAAGTATTAGACTCCACGGCCTTCACGTTTCGGTTTCAGTCTGTTGTTGTCCGAATATCCAAAGACATAATGTATAGGCGATCCTCTGACTAAATATCGTTATAAAATGTTTAAATAAAACACTCTAACGGTTTAAAACGCGACATATTAGTTAAACTTATTTGAAAATGATTTTTAACTTCGGTCCGACGTTTCAAATAAGTTTAACTAATATATCGCGTTTTAAATCGTTGAAGTGTTTTATTTCAATGACGTGTACTACTCGCGTAAACTATAGACAGTAGTTATAAAATGTTTTAACATATATTTCATTTTCAGTTTTATTACTTCGCAATAATAGAAGATTTAGTGTTACGGTTTATCTGGGCGCCGGCGTTTTTGCTCACTGAGAACCAGTTAGTCAGCGGCGAGACTATGATCTCTGTACTAGCACCGTTAGAAGTTGTTAGGTAAGATATTTTCAAAGTAATAATAGCACTTGAGTTAATTGAATACACTTTTAAACGCGATATATATAAACTTATTTGCCCGGGTTATCACGGTTGCAAAGCTTCCAAAACGTCTTGAATAAAAAGTTCACTAATATATATCATGTTCTAAACCGGTACATATGATTTATTTAAAAAACATACGTCAACTCCACATAGTATTAAATATGAAAATAGATTAGCTTGAGAAAATAAATTCACTACAGCTTACACAACCATCAGTTAGTGAGAGGTAAGGAATGCGCCTACGACGCCTGCTAAGAAAAAAAGGCGTAACGCATTACATAACAAAGCTGGATGTACTTTCCACTAAAGTTATCAGCTTCGCACTTTGTGTATTTTATTAGATTTTCTTGTTTAGCTTTAGCTTGCGGGTGTTTCGTCAAGTCATAGTTTTCCAGCTTCAATTGTTTTTTAATGGCTACATTTACAAGCAATTGCATTCCAAATAATAATAACATTAATCCTGCAGACGTTTCATCTGGAACTTCTTCCGCTTGGAGAACGAGCACCTCAACAACTGCGGTAAATTCAGAGCCGTCCGCGACATATCCGTGGCGCCCCTCGACTCCTCGGACCAGGCGCTGATACTCCGCATGATGGACCTACCTGATGGTGTCGTTAACAGGTAAGAAAGAGCCTGAAGAAAGAAATTGTTTCCAAACCGGGAAGACTTGCAAAACGTTTTTGACGGGCTGGTTGGTCTAGTGGTAGCAATGTACGGCTTTGGGTCGTAGGTTTGATCCCCACCGGGCCCAACATTTTTCTAGATTTTGTCTGGAATACTGGACATTAAACGGGTGGAAGGAATATCGACATTCCGTCCGGGTCACGAACCACCGTCCACGGAAAAGCTGTGAAGTATAATCACGGTTGCGTTTCAGTGGATACCCAAATATCCAAAGCCTAAATAGGTTGGTAGCGCAACTTGTTTATAGGCTGGAGTGTTTCCTGATATGTAATTTTGATGATATAATTTTTCTAAATCTCCAGGCAAACAAAGAAGAAAAACCTGAAGAAGATAAAAGAGAACGACAGAAAGCCGCTACTCAAGAAGGAGTCGATCCAAGACCTGCAGCTCGAATTAGATTTGTCCTCCAAAATGTTGTAACAAACTGTGATATTATGTAGTGAACGCGATATTTTCATTATAAGCGATATTATGAGTATTATTAAATATATTTCTATTGTACTTGTATTTGATTTCATATTTATCAAAGTTTCACTGAAAAGATTTCGTCAAAGCATTCTTATGAAATCAAAAGTCTGCTAACCCACCGTCGAAGGCGCTGCACTCGGGATTCGAATCCGGGCCCACGTAATCTGCAGAGTGTTTTTACACTACCTGTAGGTAAACGAGATAACCCTTATATATGTATTACAAAAAATGCACGCTACTGTGTAGTGTATAAAACAAACAAGGAATTTAACATTTACATCACGTTTATTGTAAACAATATCACAATGACATAGAATAAATTAGTTAATACTTCAATTTTATGTCACAGTAGTAGAAACCGCGTGCCTAGTTGTTATATTTAAAGTAATTTCTCGTTATTCAATTTTAATATCAACCTTAATGTCCAGAATACATAGTTTTTAAAGAGTTTATAAATTTTCACCTGTCACACATGGCGGTATTATAGACAGAGTTTTTTTTTCATGTATGTTACATATATAAATAAATAAGGCTACCTTTAAAGCCATATTTTGTATATAGGCATAGACATGTTGATATAAATGACCTCTAAAACCATTCTATGTGTTTAATAGGTCATCATCAATCTATAGTTATTTTGTAAATTTTCTGATCAGTTTACAATAATATTTCAGTTAGTTAAACAAGACTTTGTAATTCTCCTTTTGACCATTCACTTGTCAACATTCATTTAAACTTTAAAATAAATAACTTCTTATATATTCCTTGTAAGTTGTTCAGCTGTCAACAGCAGGGCTTGAAATCAATTTAGATTTTTAAAACTAGAACAAAAAACGCAAGAACCACAGATAACAGCAAAGGTTTTAAATTATCAAGCAAGTTTGGTAAGAAATTAACAGATTATCAAATCTATTATAGATTTTCATTTGAAAGACAAATGATTGACAATACATGTGATTACAAGCCATACCACAACGTGAGTCCGTTAATAAGCGCACTTTAAGTTTTAGCAAAGTGCATAATTGTAACAATTAAATCTGCATTCCATCGTCCAGTGAAGACGCCAACTTGCATCTAAAATTACAAACAATAGCATAACAATTACCTAACATATTTTAATTTTGTATTTGTTTGCTACACATGTTAAAAATTAATAGTTAGACATTTCAATGATTCAAATTAGATGATTTAAATGACAAATTTTTGTTGTCATATAACACGCAATAAAAAAGTATAATCGAAAATTAAGTTTTTTTTTTAATTTAAATGCTACATTCATTAAAGAAATTGTCTATAAATTAAAAATGTATTTTTAACACCTATTTGATACTCATATAAAATTTCCTCAAAATTAATCCAGCCGTTTACAAACAAACACAATGATAAATCACATACAGCAAAGTACTTGAATGCTACCAGAGAAATTTTAACATAAGTACCTAGTAATCCCTTACGACCGTAGAGCCTGTAGCCTAGACTGCATCTCATCAAGTTCACTCTCATCTGCATCTTCTGTTACTTCTTGACTGGTTGATGGAGCACCGACAGCTGTCGGTGGAGCAGGTGCTTCACCCAGTTTACCTTGTGTTAGCTCCCATAGCACCTAAATTGGAAGATGGCATATTAATTAGTTAGACAACCTTCTGCCAGTAGATTACTTAATTTATTCTTATAAATATAGTAATATAAGTAAACTTTCCAGACATCTTTTGTTTGCATTTCATATATTTTCTAAGTTAAATTTTTTCAACCTGTTGTCTAGATCTCATCTCACTTACAAAAACTTCAATAAGATAACATTTTTGTTACAATTACCTTATCAACTTCACTCTGTGCAGCTTCCTCCATTTCCTCTTCATCCTCCATGTTGGACATAGTCTCGTCCACCATCTCTTCAATGATTCCAGCCTTCATCATCTCTTTACTTAACTCTTGCATAGTCTGCGCTATTTCAGGGAGCCTAAGTAGAGCTTGCATTGCTTGCATCACCTATAGATTGTAGTTTTAGAAAAATCAATGATATTTCAAGGTTATTAATTATTTAAAAATGACAATTTATTCACCTCAGTTGACTTTTGCAGTGAACCAGCTACCCTCAACGTTGCTGTAAAATGAACACATGTTGTGTTATTTTTAAATGTTATTAACAATCACCCTATCAGATTGTGTTAGAAGTTTTTCTCAATTTCGAAAACTATATTCGAATGTGAAAGTGAAGCAAAATGGCGATTAATGGTAGCTGAACCCATATGTACTGATTAGAAATAACATGTTTGTATTTTATCAAAATCTGTTAAGTAGTTATTCATAAAAGACGAACAAACATCCATTCTTACAAACTATTGTATTAATATTTCTATTGAGGCTTACCAAGTTGGTTCTTCATTTGCATTTGGACAGAATTTAAATGTGCCTTGCTTGTATATATTTTACTAATGGCTTTTCTTGATCTTATTATTTCTTTCGCCAGTATTGTACAGACTTGTTTGTCATTTTTAGCAGCAGCTTCTTTGAGAGAACGTTTGATTTTGTCTTCTTCCCTTTGTATAGCTGAAATTTTGAATAAAAATCAGTAATAGGAGTTGCAATAATATATTTTCCAAGTACTTTAATCGTTTTTCTGCTTCTTCAAGCGAAAAGTTAGCAAATTCTGGGAGAAAATACCTAGTATGTGTACCAAAATACTAACATGTATGTAATATGCCTAACAGAGATGACATCATGACTCATATGCTAAAGTAATTAAAGATTATCGTACCTCTTATTTGCCTGTCAAGGTTATAGCCCTCTTTCCGCAATTTATGAGACCATTCGTTTACCTGAAATTCCACTAAACTTTAACTAATCCGTCTTTTACATTAAACACTTGAGGAAATACAAATTGCAACAATATATAACAAAAAGTGGTATTTGTATCACACACCATTTCTTTTGGATTTCGTTCTGGTGATTTGCCAAAGAGACCCATTTTGGAATTTATTAATATGAACAATTTTAATAAAAATAAAGTTATAATAATAAAAACACTATTAGCTCATAACAATTAACAATTTGCGACAACGTTAGATATTGTAAACTGCTATTTTATCAATGTCAATTATCACCTGCCAGTCTATTAGTTCACAACTGTCAGACTTAAGAAAACGATTTTAGCGCGAATTTGTTTACAATAGTCAACTGTCATTGTCAGTTTAAAACAAAAAACTGTTGATGGCTTTTTAAGTTTCTATTAACTTTAAACCCGGTTAAAGGAAATAAATCGATAAAAATAGTGAATTAACTAGAACGGTGAAAGTGGCCTTAATCTACTTGTAGTGAAACAGAGGAGACGAAAAAAGTAAGCAATTTCACTCATTTAAAGTTATTTAAAAGGCATCGCTGTCTTACCTATTTTTAGATTGTTTTGAACAGTTATGAATAGCATCATACCCTTACATTAGAATAACCCTTCACTATGTCTCAGTTGTTGATGTGAAGAATATTATTACTCCCCCCCCCCCATAAAATTATATTTGGAGCAAACACCTCTACCAGTTATTACCAAGTAATATTTAACTAACCATGCTTGTACCTACGTAATATCAATAGGTGGTATGTAAGAGGTCTAAAAAATATGACATTGAAATGTTTTTTATTAAATTCAATTTACATTCTATTTGTGTTATTTCTAATTGTATGTTACTATTCTTTTATTATATATATATAAATAGTTATGATTTAATGTAAATCATTGCATGGATGGAAATGGAATTAAAGTGGTTCAGTATTTTTATTGTTGTCCCCGATAAGAAATATAAATTCGTAGTTGCAATTAAAAAATAATGTGTAGGCTATTGATTCTGCAGCTCCACCTTAATTTACTGAAAATGATTTTATGATTGATAGGTCTTGCAAACATAGGAATTATCTTAAAATATCAACTTGTGGAAATTCTTAGATTTGAGATATTCATTATTCAAAGTTTGACTAAGGCACCCGCAATATGCAAAAATAATTGTGTTGTTTAAGCTTGAATCCTTTGAAAGCATTCGGCAAATTCACTTCAAACAAATGTATGTAAAGTAAAGTTGAACCTAGAATAGTGGCCTAAACTTTTAAAACTCCTTAAAATGATTAATTAAGAATACCTTCCTTTCAAGCCAAGTCTAAGCATAGGCAGGTACCTCCAACTTCTCATTAGTTTAAAAGGCCCTAGGCCAACAAGCGCAAAATCAATTAAAAAACAAATGAAAGATCTTTTCTATGTTGTCTACAGTTTAGGATGAATATATATGTATACTTGTATATACATCTTTATGTATGGGCACTGAGGTGTTAAACTAGCATAACTCATAACTGCAATTGTGCAATGCCTGACAGCACTGTATTGAGACATTGTAATAACATGCATCCTAGTGCATGCAATGACATTCTTATTCATTGGGATAGATATGACTAAAATACTAAAGTACTTCCGAGCAATTTTGACAGCAGTTCATATGTGTGATATATCAAACATTTCACGTATATGAAATGCTGACATAATTGATATATGATTTTGTGTTTAAAAGAGTCTTTGTTGAAACGCTGTAAATATAAACTATATTTTTATATGGTACATAAACTAAGTCTGCCGCTGCCAATTGTAAGTTGTGATTCCACTAAATTGCATTGGAGATACCTAACATCACCAGTATATAAAATCAGCCTATGAAATAGACATAGAAAATCGTATGTGCCTTACATGTTACCTTGTCGGATTTATATTTGACAATAGGTTTTTTTATTTATTACCAACTGAAATAAAGTTGATATAGCATATAAAACACTCAGTGTTTATTTAGATAATTCAAAAAAATTGTCTTCAATGTTCTATTTAAACGTTTTTTTATCAGTTTACAATTTAAATGGATAGAAAATGTCCTATCTGAAACCTATCAAAATGCTTTTTCTATTGCGCAACTTGCTTTTGTTCAATATCTATATAATTAAATGATTATTGTAATTGACTACAGTGGATCTAAGTACTTAATAAGTGCACGCGTTCTCACAGTAAATATTGATATGCACGAGTTATTTTCATTATTTCAACTGACGTTACGAAAAACAAGGATTTACTATAATAAATATGTGTGCCATCCACCGGGGCGTCTTTTGGTCTCCGGCAAAAACGAACTTAGTGGCTCGTTCAACTTTCCCACCTCCTATCCTGTATGGATGGATGGTGATCCAAGCCTAGGTAGATGTCCCTCTGGCACACTCTTGTTCCTACATGTCGTCTTAGTGTTACAACTATCCTGTCTATAAAGCCATAAGTAAGCTATAAACGCGCGTTATTAAAAATAACTATACCTACTACGTGGAAACTCCTTGCAAAAACAACCCAAGGTGCACACCCTACATAGTCTTATTGCATCATATGGAAACTTGACCTTGCACTTAATACCTAATAGGACCTTTGACATACTAAATAAGCTGTAAGCTGTGTAAACCTATGTAGTTGCAATGCATAACAAACCAGTAGGGCCAACTAAGTAACCGTCATTTACTTTTTAAACTATTCTCTTTTCTTTCTCTCTCGTTTTAAATTCTAGTCTACAAAACGCCACATACTATTTAAACGTATATATAAACGTATATAAATCTTCACGTATGTGACCAGGATTGCTGCAAAGCGCCCGACATGTGAATTCGTCATTATGTTTGTATAAAAAACTTAAAGTATATAACTAAATATCGTAAGGAAGTGGACATTTCTAACTACAAATATACCTTGAATAGTGTATACTATAAAACAGGGTAGCAAACTGTTCACCTATCAGGTGTTATGCAGCGTCTTTTAGAGTGGCGCTACTGTGCACTAAAATGTACTGTTTTTTTTTTTAATTGACTATTACGTATTGTGTTCTATGGAGCCACGAATACTCGGGGTTTTGGGCGAGGGGGGTTCGGTGCGTGGGGTGTTTTGGGCTAGACCAAGGGTGCCCCGAGGGGGGGCAACGGCCTCGGCTTGGACCGCCGCAATGCGGGTGGGAGCTTGAGGAGCTGGACGGAAGCTCACCCGGGTGAGCGGTACGCGTAGCGAATGACCTCGCCTACGCCGGCGTAGGCGGTTTTGGGGCGATCGGCACGGTGCGGTCGATGCGTAGCGACGAGGGTTTCGACGGCTTTGGTTAAGTTGTCAGCGAGATCGGAGAGAACGTTACCGGCCTTCTCCAGCGTGTGTTGAGGAAGGTGTAGTTGGGGCCGGGCACAGTGGGTTGGATGGTGCGGCTTTTTTGAAGAAAGCTCGGACGTTTCCTTGAAGTACCGACTGAGGGTCGGTAATCCGAGATGGCGTGGAGATTAGCATTCGCGAATGTATTGTGCTGGTGCATATATATTCAACTTTGCAGTCCAAAGGGCAATAGAAATTTCTTTTCGCATACTTTAATCTTTAGACTTTGAATGCTTGTTTTTAATCGTAAGCAGATTATTATTGACATCTTGATTAATTAATTAGATGTTATTGCATTGACGTCAGTGTGATTCTAATCATATTAATTATAATTATATTGAAAACAGGAAAGATAGAGGTTTGTGTGGAAAGGTGAAAGTACTTATCCATTTGCGCAATAAACTATCCGAAATTGGAAAAATATTCGCATAATCTAGTGAAAATAGGTATTGTCTTCATAAATATTTGGAAATGTGCTTTTAAATTTTATAAATATAATACATAACTACTATTACAATACAAACATATTTTTATAAAGCACGGAGTTCACTTGATTGAAGTTGAAACACCCCAGATGAAGATGTGCTGTCGGCCTTTGCTAGCTTTGGACATTGGAATTTATATAATGCTAGTTAATAATGTAGACATAAGGTTAGCTTGAAATTGTTATTTAAATAAGATAATATTTTTTTAAACAAACATTGCACAATTAATGCCATTGAAACAAGGCTGCAAAAATAGGATGAAATGTCTATATTTTCTAATTACCTTCTCTAACTGATTAGAACGTAACTATTTATTGATATTCTTTATCTGATAATGATATAGTGATTAGGAATTAGGATAAAACTTATATAATTAAGCGATAGTGTATCCGGGTAGATAGTTTAATTGCTTTTATCAATCTGTATTTTTTATTCTTTGTTTCGTAATGTCATGTAAAGGTGACTCTCGTTACAAATAAAATTTAATGCAAAGTCAGCGTATTATTTCATTTTATAATTTCTATAAAGTAAAGAGTGCTGCATATAGTATTTTTTAACTATTTTACTCTTTTGTGTGTGATTATGGAACTACCTTCACAGACGAAATGTGGGTAACTGACATTTACATTATTAACGGTTATAAAGTTTTGAAAACAGTATAATAATATCTCTAAGCTTAAAAAATAAGTTATCCGTTTTGGGTATAATCATGCTGTGTCGCGTTCGTCCGCGTAGAAAAGATTTTTTTGGCCTCCCCTTTATCTTTATAAATTTTACCTCTTCCCGACGTCTTCGTGTCGTCGTTCTTGCAAGTTAACCTTAATAGACGTATAGTGTCGCGTACATGTTTTATATAAATTAAAGAGGAATCATCCCTTCATACATAATTTTTGGGTATCTTGAACCGTTTTCGCAGCGTACGCATCGGAAACCCACAGAGATGAATAATTTTCCTCGTTTTTTTTTTCACATTTTCCGCAGTCTTCGCTCCTTTTAGTCACACTGTTTTATAGCAAACAAACAAATTCTTTAGCTTTATATATTAGTATAGATTTGCTCGAAACGTGTTTTCTATAGAGCGGTGCCCATTTACGGGTTTATTGATACATATGTAGTTGATCCTGTGTCCAGTGGTGCTCAAATAAAACTAATTAATGTCTGTGTGAACTTTACTCGTCCAGCGATAATGTTTTATTGCGCAGTTACATAATTGACATGTTTTAAACATTGTATTTAATTTTATCTGTTTCTAGGAGATTAGCGGTTATTTCCTTTCACTCCATATCA